GAGCTGGGAAGACTTCCGGGCACAATGCCCCCTGACGCACCAAGCGCTCATGGAAGCCGACGCTGACCTCCGGGCCCAGGGGGCCATCAGCGGCGACTTCGATTGGTTGGGGTGCTTCCAGGAGCCCACGCCCAAGTTGCAAGGCACGTGGGGCAAGGCGCGCTCTGCGGCCACTAGAGCGAAACTCCTCCGGGAGCTCGGGGAGGACGACCGCCTGGCACTCCGCGGCGCTGGCCGGACAGGAGCTGGCAGTTTCGTCCTGCCCAGCGAGGAAGGTGACCCCAACATGCCCGACAGGCACTTCATCACCTCTGTGAAGCTGCGCCTCCGGTGTGATGTCTGCCCGCAAGGCGCCGTGTGCCAGCACCGCCGCCAGGACGGCACAATACATTGGGCCGCCCGTCAGACGAAGCCGCAGAGTTCATCCGGGCTTACGGACAGAACCTCGGCGAGGCAGAGCGGGGCGAGGTGCTCGCCAGAGTGTGGCGGCAGCTGTCCCGCCACCTCCAGCGCGGCAGTGCCGAGATGGTGCTCAGCGCCATCGGTTTGTAAGGCCGCGACCACAACCAACACCAGCACAACCGCTACTACCAGCACCGCGACGACGACCCTAAGGACGGCAACTGCCGCGACCACCAGCGCCACGACCACGACCAGCGCCAGCACGACGACCACCGCGACCACCGCCAGCAAACACCACGACCACGACTGCATGACAGCGCCACGACCACGACCACTACCACCTCCGACCTGACTGCCAACGCCCCCGTCCGCCCCGCCCCTCCCCTCTCCTCTCCCCGCCCCTGCCGGGCCGCCCCTGCAGCCGCGCGGGCCTTGCGCCTCCCTCCCACTTCGCTTCCTCCTGCTGCTGCTGCTCCTTCTCCCGCAGGCTGAGCCGGCCCAGCCAGGGCCCGAAGACGGCTCGAGGCTCGACGGTTCCTTCGGCGGCGGACTCGGACTCGCCTCACACGCCTGGCCCCGGTGGCCACTCGTCCCAAAGGTGGACGTGTTCCGGGGCCGCGGGATGGAGGGAGGGAGGGAGGGAGGGAGGGAGGGAGGGAGGGAGGAGGAGGAGGAGGATGAGGAGGATGATGGTGAGGAGTGAGGAGGAGGAGGAGGAGGAGGAGGGAGGAGGAGGAGGAGGAGGAGGAGGAGGAGGAGGAGGAGGAGGAGGAGGAGGAGGAGGAGGCGGAGGAGGAGGAGGAGGAGGAGGAGGCGGAGGAGGAGAAGGAGGAGGAGGCGGAGGAAAGGGAGGAGGAGGAGGCGGAGGAGGCGGAGGAGGCGGAGGAGGCGGAGGAGGCGGAGGAGGGGGAGGGGGAGGAGGAGGAGGAGGATGAGGAGGAGGAGGGAGCAGGGAGGAGGGAGGAGGGAGGAAGGAGAGGAGGAACTTTATCCACTCGACGTCGTTGCCGGGCCATCTGGGGGCCTCCGAAGGCCTGCCAGAGCCCTCTGGGGACGTCGGGGGGCCCAGGGCGAGGAGGGGGGAACGCGAAAAGCTTCGGCGCGACTAAGAGGACCAGCGCGAGCTGCAGCGCCACACCGCAACGCTACGCCACGAAAGGTTTTCGTGTCCTCCTCGATTCAACTCGGGCCTGTCTCTCCACAGGAGGAATATTCAAACATAGTAAGAAATCGTATGGGGACTATTTTTTGACCTATGTTGCTTGTTTTTTGATTTTTCCTTGTCGTCCAACCCCCCCTGTAGGAAGACATGCCCGGAACTGATCGTCGATGCTGAGGACCCTCCCCATGCTGTAATGCCACTGCCACTCTCTGGACTGGATCCTTCTGTTCCACCTCCCTCCGCAACTCAGATGACGGGGCTCCTAGACCGGGGCCCCAGCTAGACGGTGGACCATCTTCGTTTTGATTTCGATTCGCCGCAAAGGCAAGACGAAAACATAACGAAGGAAGACCAACGAACAAAAGCGGAAACGACAAGCACCGTTTAGCTCGAGCCTCGTCCCAGACTGGAGTCCGGACGGCTTTCCGCTTGGCTGGGCGCTTGCGGGGGCGCCTGAAGGGTTCTTTTTCCGCGTGCCGAGCGAGCCCAGCGCCTGCCGGGGGCACGGGCGCAGGAGGCCCCGCCCTCCGCGCGCCTCGTCCTTTCGGCCTCCGCGCCTCAACCAGCACCTCCTCCGTTGCGTGACGCTCGGCCCCAGAACCAAGCCTCCGGGTCGGTCTTCGGGGTCGCCGCGGCGATCGCGGCGGCCACGCATCGGGGCAAGGTTTGTGTCAAGGAGCGGTCTGCCCCCTCCCGGCCCCCCTTGCTCTGTGAGACGGACGTCGCTTATAGTTAACTATGGCGGCAGTTCTTTGTTATAATACATGTATATGATTGTCAAGTTATGCCCAGCACTGGTAGTCATGGTACTTGTGGGTCGTGGTGTGTTTCTCGCGCAACCTGTTCCGACGCCCTGCCCCCCCCCCAGCCTTCCGCGGGCCTGCTGCCTCGCCCGTGCGGTCCCTGCCGCCTGGCCCCCCCTGCCCGTGCTGCGAGTCGAGCTCTCGAGCAGCAGCGCAAGGAGCCTGCACGGCAGCCAGGACACGGTGCTGTGCTCGCTGTGCGAGTTGGCTGCTGCACTCTGGCTCTCCAGAGCTTCCTATCTCCACCACCGCCGCCACCACCACCACCAATCTGCATGGCCGTGGCTGGATTCTTTCAACACGGCGCCTGCGACTTAGTTCGTTCGCGATTGGCACCTCCATCTGCGGGCCGCGCCTGAGGTTCTTCTGCGCCGCCGTCTTGAAAGGGTGTGTGTGTGTGTGTGTACTGTGCAAGTTTTGTAGCCACGGCCTGCACGATGTCCCGACGTGTACTGTGGCCGCATCGCTCCCTCAGGCGCCCGAGTCCCGAGGCCCTCCTCGAGAGGGAGGGGCATTACGGGAACGAAAAATGACATGCCCATACAAATTCGGAGGTCCGCGCGGATTTCTCGGATCCTCGCTGCACCCCCCTCCCTGGCGCGCGGAACGCGCCAGGGGCGGCGCCGGAGGCTCCGACAGGGGGCCCCAGCGCGGATCCGAGAAGTCCGCGCGGACCTCCGAGTTTGTATGCGCATGTCATTCTTCGTTCCTCTATCGTCGAGAGAGAGGCGTATAGCCGGTGAGGGGGAGGCCTGGCAGCTGGTGCACCTGCTGGCCAAGGAGCTCGAGGTGGAGTTCCGCGAGCCCGCGCCCTCCGCCGGAGCGCCCGGGCAGGCCCCCGGAGGGCACGTCGATCGATCGGCGGCGAGCGAGGGGGGAGAGGTGAGAAGGCAAAAGCTCAAGTCGGGCATGTCCCTCCTACAGGAGGAATGTTCAAACATGTGCAAGAAATCGTATGGGGACGATGTCCCGATTGTTTGTTCTAGCGTGTATATATATATATATAGATATAGTCCAAAATCCGCCTGTAGGGAGACATGCCCGACCTAATAGTGGGCCTTCTCAGAAGGTAGCGGGACTTCTCAGAAGCCATCGCGCCTTCAGAGAAGTTTTTCTTTTGTCTTCGGGGGAGGCTTAGAAGACTTCTCGGAAGGCCGATCGGGGCTCGAGGATCGAGGCTCGAGGATTGGGACGATCGAAATTGGCACGGAAAGAAAGGGCACAGAGACCGACAGCAGTTCCTGTTCCTTTTTCGCAGGATTCGCTGGCGGCGTCGCCGTGGACCGTGTCCACTGGAGACAGGGGGCCGCCTGCCCAACAGTGGCCGCTGTTGGTTTGTGGCAGCATTTGTTGTTGGGCATTGTATCCAATTTTCCGTACCCATTTCGGGCGTCCAAAGAGGGTCGGGTTTCAGGATCGGGGTCGCGGGAATCGGGGCAGTCTGGGGGTCTGAGGTGGCACAGCACCAGTTCCGGCCAGCAGGAAGGGCGGGCAGGTTCGAGGTGTTGGGTTCGGGGAGGTTTTCTTGCTGTTTTTTTGTTGGCCTTTGGAGGCCGTATTGGGGTCCTGGGACCGTCAAGACAGGATCCGGGTTGAAGGATTGCACCAGATGGATCCAGGGGTTGCTTCGGGGACATATTCTGACCGGATATGGCTTTACACCTTTTTGACCGATTGCGAAGGCCTTACACCCAGTGCCGCCGACCCGAAAGGCTGGACCTCCCTCAGGACCCCCGCTGGCCACCCGCCCAGGACCCTCTGAGACCCCTTCGGGACCCGCCGGGACCCTGGGGGGGGCGGGATTCTGTCCTGGGATTCCCCCCCCTCCAACCTCCCCCCTGCCCGTCAGGGAGGGGAAAAAGGGAATGGAATCGATTTCGACATTATTTCTTACCCTTGTTGCTCGACTTCTTTGGGACCGGCGACGACCACGACGACGATGACGACAACGACGACGACGGCACAGCCTCTCGCACATGCAGAAGGGTCGGCGGATGTTTTAGGGTCCCAACCAGTTCGGACCCCCCAGGCCGCCACCCAACTCCGAGGCACGATGGTCGAGGTTCGAGGGTTGGGGCCTTCGGAAGTTTGTGTTCGCCCCTCTCTGGGCCGCCAGGAGGGCTTCTGTCGCCGCGGCCAGATTCCCGCCGAGGCTCTGGCCAAAACTTGCCCCGCAGGAGATGTCTGGGGGGCCGATGTTCGATTTGGCGGCATGCGGAAGGAGGTGGGGCCTTCTGAGAAGGCGGAGGGTGTTTTAGAAGTTCTCAGAATCCCCCGATCCCTTCCGAGAGGCCCCTTGCCTTGTGAGAATGTCCTCTCCCCTGGCCCCATCCCTTCGTGTGCGCGCGGCCAGACTTTCCTCCTCCGCCCCCTCCCCCCGTGCCGTCGGCGACTGGCAAGTAACAGTCCAGGATCCGTGCCACACTGCGCGGCCCCCTTGGGGAGTCTTCCTGCGCACCGGGGCCGTCAATGACGACTCGGGATGGAGCGGCGGGTCCCGTGGACGTGGCCGATGGCTCTGGGGGCCCGACGGTGCGACAAGAACTCGAGGGCCCAGACCCACCCCTCTTCCTTCCTTCCTTCCTCCATGTCCTCCCCCGTCATTGCTCCCTCCCCCCTCTCTCCTTGCTTCTTACTTCGATCTCCGCCGTCTTTGCTCCTCCATCCGTCCTCTCCTTCGTGACTCCTCCTGCCGCTGCTCAAGCTCCCCACACGACGATAGCTGCAATCGAGCAGGACAGCTCCTTCTGGCTCTCGCTCCCTGCTCCCTCCTCCGTAGAGTTTGGGCTGAGCCCAGGCCGCTGTCGGCAAGGTGAAGAGCCTCGCCACAGGCTCCTTGTGGCACCGAAAGGGGGGGGGGTCGTTTTCGTTCTTGACGACGGTAAGGGGGAGGAGGATGAGGAGGAGGATGTGGATGAGGAGGTGGAGCAGGTGGAGCAGGTGGAAGATGAGAAGGAGGAGGGGGTCGGAAGGGGGCAGACGGTGGTGGAGGAGGGCGGAGGAGGGCGGAGGAGGGCGGAGCGAGGAAGAGATTGAGCAGGAGGAGGAGGAGGAGGAGGAGGAGGAAGAAGAGGAGGAGGAGGAGAAGGAGGAGGAGGGCGGCCGAGGACGGGGGGAGGAGGGAAGAGGAGGGAGGGGGGAGGAGGAGGAGGAGAAGCAGGAGCAGGGACCAGGAAATGATAACGAGGGAGGAGCAGGAGGAGGCTGAGGAGGAGGAGGAGGAGGAGGAGGCCCAGAGGGCGCCCAGCAGGCGTCAACGCTGCTGGCAACACGCCCTTCCGCCCCGCGCACCCTCCCCACGGGTCTCTGCACCTGCTCTTCTCCGGGTGCGGGAGCCGCCCCCCGAGATGACGAGCGCCCGGCGGGCCGGCGGGCCTGCCACTCCAGCGAGGCCCTGGCCTGTCAGGAGTCCAGCTTCCATCCTTCCAGCAAGGCACCAAGGATGATCAAGTTCAAGGAAGAGCAAGTTGAAGGAAGTAGGAGGTTCCAGCTCAAGGAGGATCACGCACGATTCTGTTCAAGTTCAGGGAAGATCAAGCTCAAGGATGACCAGAACGCCACAGAGGCAGGATGATCAAGTTTAAGGAAGTGCGCAGAGAAAGCCCTGCTTTGAAACGGATCTGCCCCCCATTCGTGCAGATGTTGCAATACGTCCACGTTCTTGCCATGTCATGTGCGGAAGTCTCAAGCGCGAGCCCACTTTTAAAGCAGCGCCACACTCCATCGTGTAGCTATTGCGCACTTCGAATCTTCGGGTCATAGAATTTCGCAAGTGAGGGCTGCACTATGATTGCGAAGCAGCCCTCCATCTGACAATCGCTTGAAGCTGTAGATAAAGAATGCGCGCGCTGAGGCGAGAGCTGCATTTTGGAAACCACCAGGTTCATCACTTTTCAAAAGTTCAGCAGCTGTCCGAAGGGCTGGCCCCGCCCCCCCCCCCTCACCACGGGCAGTCCGAAGTACACGTACAACATGTTTTGTTCGCGCGTACGGGGTTGCGGAACCGCAGGGGGATATCCCCCCGACCCTTTCGGCGGCCGTGGTGTCCGTTTAACCCATCGGTCGTTCGTCCTCTAAGCTGACGAATGCAAGCGACTTTTAGTTTCCTTTATAAAGAATCGCGACTTGGGAATAAAGAAACAGTATCGAATCGCGGCGTAGGAGGAAGGAAGCAGTATAGAATCGTGGCTCAGGAATGAGGGAACAGTGTAGAACGGCCATTCTGGAATATCGAAACAGTACAGGATCGCGACTTCGGAATCAGGACAGCGTAGAAACTCGACGTAAGAATGAGGAGGCAGTATAGCATCGCAGCTTAGGAACAAACAATCAGTATAGAACTGCGGCTTCGGAATAAGAAATCAGTCTTGGATCGCGGCTAAGGTAAAGGACACAGTATGGACTCGCGACGTATGAATACGGAACCGACACACAATCGCGGTATCGGAATAAGAAACCAGTAGATACTCGTCGCTTAGGAAAATGGAAACGGTGCAACAAGGCGACTTAGGAATGAAGGAGCGGTATATAATGGAGACTTGGGAGTCGTGAAACAGCTTTTACTTGCAATTTACCAGGTCGAACACAGTTTTTAATTGCGATTTGAGAATGGGGGAACAGTATATAACCTCGACGTATGGAACCGCGACTCAGGAATACGGACACAGTCCATAATCGTGTCTTAGGAGTAATGAAGCAGCATGTAACCGCAGTTTAAACATAGGGACACCACATCGAATCGCGATTTGAGAGTACGGAAACATATATGAAACGCGACTTAGGAATAAGGAATCAGCATAGGTGCGCGAGGTGGGAATGGTAAGCAGTATACAATAGCGACGTTTGAATCCAGAAACAAGTGTTAATCGTTACGCTGGAAAATGAAACAGTACAGACCCGCGGTTTAGGAACATGGAAACAGTATAGAATCGCGACTTCGGAATAGGGAAGCAGCATCGAATCGCAAGTCAGGAATCAGGAAACAGTGTAGAATCGCGATTTCACTTACTTTCGTGCACTGCGCAGTGCACTGGCTATATGCGGGACACTCGGCTACTTGCGTGCTGCTTCCCCTCAGACAGCGAGGCGGCGACTCTGTCCCACCCAGCGTACACCCCGGCTTGGCTTCCTGTCGCATGATTAAATGCAACTATTCCACCCAATTCCGTCGAGGCCTGCCGCGGCGTCGCACCGATACTGCGGTCTCAGGGGTGTTGCCGGCGCCATGGAAAGTGACCCTCTTCAACTCTGCTTTGGTCGGGTCTCTGATCACCTGGCCTAGCAGGTTCAACTGCGAGCTCCTTATGATCGTCGAACGCCTCGGGCATATCGCTCGTCTCAAGACTTCATCATTACTTACTCGTAATCATTCGCAAGCGTCGGCAGTATAATCCATCCAATCGACCCATGTCGGTCTTCATGAGCCACATGGATGCCGTGGCATATTTGAGCTTCGACCCGGTGACACTGTGGAACAACTCGAGCTTCCGCGCCAGGCTGATCGTCGCATTCTTCCAGATCTTGCAGATCGATCTGACATCTGCCGAGGCGGCGCCGATTTTTCTGCCCACCTCCGAAGTAACGCGGCCATCGCTGTGCACTTGTGGCCCCCAGGTACAACATTTTGTCCTTGGCCTTCAAGTTGTCCCCTGCGGAAGTTGTGACGGTCATGTCGGTGTATATCTTCACGAGCTGGAGCTCTCCCCAATGTGCCTGCCGGACGAACTGGCCGCCTCAATGGGTTATTGCGTCCAAAACATGTTCGCTGTGATTTGCCCAGGCGCTAATCAGCAGAGTGTCATCCGCATGCGACACTTCGGAAAGATGCCTCTGGTCGTGCGCCGACCTGGCCGCGCTGCCCAGACGACTGTGCGCGTCTCTCATCAGTGTGGCCATGACACGGCCAAACAGAAGCGGAGATAATGAGCAGCGTTGATTTTGCCCGCCTCTTGCCATGCCGCCGAATGCGCTTACCGCGACACCGCCGCCCGCCGCTGGCAAGGCCTTCCTAAGGCCTCTGCGGACCGCCCGCAGGTGGAGCCGCTTGCGGGAGGTCCGCGGAGGCAGCCAGGAAGGGCCAGAGGCCTTTGCGGATCTGCCGCAAATTTAGCCATGTCTGGGAGGTCAGCAGAGGCCGCCAGGAAAAGCTCCCAAAGGCCTCTGCGGAGCTTCCGCAAATGGAACCATTTACGGGAGGTCCGCATTGTACGCAAGGAGGGGTTCACAGATGTTTCTTCGGATGCCCCGCAAGTGAAACCATTTGCGGGAGGTCCGCAGAGACCGCCAGGAAGAGCTCCCAGCCCTCCCCCCCCCCCCACGGGCAGGCCGCAGTGCCCGTACAATATGTCTTGTTTGCGCGGGCGGGGCTGCGGAACCGCAGAGGGGTTGACCTCCAACCTCCGACCCGTTCGGCGGGCCGTGGTGTGCGTTTGACCCCTGGTCGCTCTTGGAACGCAAGCGGGCCCCTTCCCCACCCCATAAGTCGAACCTCCGAAGTCCTGTTGACAAGTTGTGGACCAGCTCTCCATCTCAGTTGAGATGCTGATGATGATGCAGATGCTGATGATGCTGATGATGCTGATGATGCTGTTAATGATGATGCTGCTGCAGATGATGATGCTGCTGCTGATGGTGGTGATGATGATGATGCTGATGCTGATGATGATGCTGATGTTGAGGATGACGAGGTTGATGATGATGCTGATGATGCTGATGATGATGATGATGACGACGATGCTGATGATGCTGATGATGATGATGGTGATGGTGATGGTGATGGTGATGGTGATGGTGATGATGATGATGATGATGATGATGATGATGATGATGATGATGATGATGATGATGAAGTTAATGGCAAGTTGTGGACCAGCTCTCCATCTCTGTCGATGTCTGAGTTCTCGGCATCGTTAGGGCAAGGTTCAGCGAAACGCTCGGCCAGGCCTGGGGACGCGTGCTGTGGTGCGACAGGAGGGGGTTATTCGCAGGGAGAAGGAGGAGGAGGAGGAGGAGGAGGAGGAGGAGGAGGAGGAAGAGGAATAGGGAGGAATGGGAAGCATGTTGAGGAGGGGGGAGGAGGGAAGGACGAGAGTGGATTCGGATGAGGTTCTCGAGCGTCACTGCTTCACAGAGTCTCCTGGGAGGGAGGAGGAGGAGGAGAACAGGTAAGAGCAGGGAGGACGACGACGCCGCCGCGGACGCCGAGGCCGAGGCCGAGGCCGAGGCCGACGCCGACGCCGACGCCGACGCCGACGCCGCCACCGCCGCCGCCGACGACGACGACGACCAGGCGCCGGTGGCACCCCTGCCTCGGTGCTGGGGCACCTGGCCGGCAACGCGGCGGGGGCCGCAGCGCCGCCGCAGGACCAGGAGCGGCGCGCCTGGGGCTCGCCCGAGGAGCCGACGGCGACGTCGACGGGGCGGCGGCGGGCGGCGGCGGACGAGGAGAGTTGTGGATGCCATGACAATGGGCCCTCTGACAATCCTATCATTGAATTAAAGATGTGTTTAAATGTTTGAACAATGTTCAAAGCATGTTTTAAACATGTGTTTCACATGTTTGGGCCATGCTTGAAACATGTTTTAGACATCTGGATTTTTTGGGGCAGCATGCTTCCTCTCCATTGGTTGACTTCCACAAGAGTCGACTCGAGGAAGACAACACGCCATAAACATAAACTTAAGGCGCTCCGCGCGGATTTCTTGGATCCGCGCTGGGGCCCCACTGGCGGCGCCTCCCTCGGCGCGCTCCGCGCGCCAGGGAGGGGGGTCAAGCACAGATCTAAGAAATCCGCGCGGACCTCCCAAAGCTTTTGTTTAGGCAATTGTTTTCCTCTATAGAGACCTTTTTAAATTCCCTTGCGATAGCGGGCGTGACCAGGGGGGGGGGGAAGAGGGGGCCGGTCTCCTCACGATTCGCGCCGTCGCCGTCTGGGAAGGCCCAGGAATGGGTCGTTCCCAAAACGGCGCCGGCGCGAATGTGACGTGCCCAGGGGGCGGCGGCGGCGGACGATGGAATGGGCGTTAAAGCCGCTCTCAAGTGGACGAGGGAGAAGGGCGGGGCTGGTCAGGGACGTTATCGCGACTTGTTACAAAGCTGGTGCTGCACGAGGACGAGGTCGAGTGCGTCGGCCCCGACGGCCCGTTGCGATCTCGATCCTTTCGGTTCCCCTGGCCTTCAGCGGCGCCTGCGTCGCCACGATTGGGCTTGCGCTCGGATTTCCTGGTCATACTGCGCCCCTGTGCATGTCTGGTAGTTAGTGTCTGATCGGCGTCACCCCAAGTTATTAATACCTAATACCATGTGTGCACCGCCCCCCCAGGGGCGACGCGCGCACCGAGAAGTCTTATAGTACATGCGTTGTGGCCGGCGCTTTCTGTTCATACCGCTCGGGAACCGATTTGCTACAGCATGGGCGTACTATATGCTCGGGTCGGACGCGCGCCTCCAAGGAGGACATGTGGTACTAGTATGTCTCTGTGTGTCCCATGACATAAACATACAAACTCGGAGGTCCGCGCGGATTTCTCGGATCTGCGCTGGACCCCCCTCCCTGGCGCGCGGAGTGCGCCAGGGGCGGCGCCGGGGGCGCCGCCAGGGTGCCCCAGCGCGGATCTGAGAAATCCGCTCGGACCTCAGAGTTTTTATGCTTATGCGATTCTTCGCTTTCCTACATGATCATGTCCGGGAGTTGGCTCATCAGGGGGAGACGACGACGGTGGGGGCGGCGGCGTCGGCGACGGCGGCCTTCGGCGGCCATCGGGGGCAGTCGGCGGCCATCGGCATGGCTCCGCCCGCCGTGCTCCTGAGTCCGGCTCCTCCGTCCTCCATCCGCCCTCCCCTGCTCCTCCGTCCTCCATCCGTCCTCTTCGGCCCTCCTTGCTTCCCCATCCTCCCTCGCTCGATCGTCGTCCTCGTCCTCGTCCTCGTCTTCGTGGCCATCGTTGTCGTCGCCCTCGGCGTCCTCGCCCTCGTCGTCCTCGTCGCCGTCGTCGTCCTCCTCCTCCTCCTCCTCCTTCCCCTCTTCAGCCCGAGTTGCTGTTGCCGTTCCTCCCCCACTCGTCGTCCCCCTCCCCCCCTCCTCTTCCTCCCCGCCTCCCCCCTCCTCCCCTCCCACTGTCCTCCTCCTCCCTCTCTCCTTCTTCTCTTCTTGTCCTCCCGTTCTCCTCCCCCCAAATCCCCCCTGAGATCCGACGTTGCACAGCAGTTGCAACATCGCAGAACACCCCGACGGGAGCCCTGTACCCCCCGCGCCATTTTGGGAGCTGGATCGATCTGTGAGGGTCCCTGGGTCCGAAACCGGTGCACCGCCCGGATCTGCTCTATACTTTCGATGGATTGCTCCGCCCAGAACCAGATCCGGCCCATCCGGATGGAATGGTCCATCTGCTCGCCTCCAGGGTGCCCTGGGCTTTGGTTTCGATGGTTTTGCGATGGAGAGCGCGGCGCTCCCACATCAAGCATCGATGGACGTCCTGGGGTCTCAGGGTTGGGTTTCTTGCGGAATGTTTCTTGTGCACTGGCCTTCAATGTAGCCGTTCCGGCTCAGATCTCTTTGAGTTAGCCATATGCCCGACGGCGGGGTGTTCGCGAGCCTGGCTCGGCCCATCTCTTCAGCACCACAGCTCCTCTCGCGCCCTGCCAGTGTCAGATGGGGTCCTTCTGCTGCTCCTCCTCCTCCTTCTCCTCCTCCTCCTCCCCCTCCTTCTTCTCCCCCCCTGCTCCTCCTCCTCCTGCTCCTCCTCCGAGTAGATGGTGTCGGAGGATCGCGCCGTATCGTCGATGCATCGGCGATGCGGTTCGATGTGGAGCCCGACTTTCTCAACGCTGGCGTCGCCGATGCATCGCCGATGTGTCGGCGCTGCGGCGCAATCCTCACCCTAACCGTAGACCTCCCCTTACTGCCCCATCCGAACCCCCTGACTCCCCAACCCTAACCCCCTTGCCCGAACCTTAGACCGACCCCGCACCCTCATCCTACCATCCTAACCCGACCCATACCCGCCTAGGCCCCGAACCCGAACCTTAACCGCTTAACCCTAATCCTTAACGCCCTAAACCGAAACCCTATGACACTAAGCCTAACACCCTGGCCCTAACCTACCACCCTAACCGTGCCACCCTAGCCCGGACCCTAACCCTACCACCCTAATCCTACCCCGCTAACTCGAATCCAAGAATGTGGAACACGTGGTCCATCTGGTGCAACAGATGTGCCTGGCACGCCCGGGCCCCAGCGTCGCGCACATGGGGTCGGTTTCGGTTCGCGGTAGCTGTCCATGCAAGGACGACCGCTGAACGTGCTCAGGCTCGGGTGTTATTTATGTGCTGGGAGGGCGGGTGGGAGTGAGCTAGACAGCTTGCGGGTGGGTGAGTAGCTTGACGTCCTAATCCTAACCCTAACCTGACCCCTTAATCCCCTAACCCGACCACTCTAGCATTAATCCTCTAAGCCGAACCTTCGCACCCTTCTGCGCTAACCCTGACACCATAACCTTAACGCTCTCCCCCCGATCCAACCACCCTGACCCGGACCTTAGCCCCCTAACCCTAACCACGTAGGCCCCTAACCCTGACCTTAATCCACAACCCCAAACCCCTAAACCAACCCTGGTCCTAACCTTTCACCCCAGTCCTCGCCCTAACCCTAGCGCTAACCCTCAGCCGAAACCCTAACTCTAGCCCTAACCTTAAGCTCGAGCCCCTAAACTCCTGACCCCTCAACCCCGAGGCCCGTGCGCTAACCCCGAGCTCCCCTGTAACCGTCACCCTAACCTTGAGCCTGACCATACTACCCTCATTCGAACCCCCTGACTCCCAAACTCCGACACCCTAACCCTGACCCTCTAACCCAAACCTTGGACCTAACACGAGTCCGAATCCGACCATCCTAACCCTGGCCCCCATAACCCCAGAACCTCCGAAACCGCACCCTGACTGCCCAACATTAGCCCTAACCCTAATCCGACCCTTTTAACCATAGCCGCCTACGCCTCATCCCTACCCGAACACCCTAACCCAAGCATAACCACCCTAACCCGAAACCCCACGACACTGACCCTTACCTTACCACCCTAACCCTCACCCCTTAACCCTCACCCTAGCCCTTCCGCCCTGACTCTAAACTTCTAACCCAACCGTAAGCCTTTTACCCTAACCCTGACACCCTATCCCGTGGCTTAACCATCCCCGTAGGCCCTTAACCAGAACCCTATCCCTACACCCTAACTCGACCACCCTGACCCTGAACCCATGACGCTATCCCTATCACCCTAACCTGAACCCTACCACCCAAACCCTACCACCCAAACACTCACCCCTGACCCGAACACCCTAGTCTTAACACGCCCTAGCCCTAATCCGCTAACCCGAACCCGAAACCCTTGACCGAACCCTAATACCCTAATCATAACCCGCTGACCCTAACCCTTGCCCCACCCCCCTAGCCCTACCACCCTAACCCTAACCCCCTAAACCTAACCCCGACACTAATCTTAACCCTACTACACTAACCCTCACCCCACCCCCCGAACCCTAACCCTGACCCTAACCCTAACACTATAACCCTGGCCCTACCACCCGAACCCTAACCCCTTATCCTAACCCTACCTTCTTAACCCGAATGCCCTCAACCTCACACCCGAACCCTAATTCTCTCACCCCGACCCAACCACCCTAACCCTGACCCCGCCATCTCCGACGGACGCATGCAGGGAAGCGGGGGGGCACTCCCGCCGCCCCGGTGAGAAATTCCCTCTCTTCTCCGGCGCAAAGGAAGGGGGGGTGGTCCGAACCCCCCACTCCCCCCCCGTGAAAGGGGAGCGAGGGGGCGGGGAGTCCGAAAACACCCCCGCCCCTTGAGAGGGGGAGGGGTCCCGTGAGCATGCGTACCCCTTGGCAATTACGGGGGCACCCAGTGGCGCGTTTTCGTGTGTGCACATGTATATATATATATATATATATATATATATATGCCCACACCCCCCTCCAGCACTCCGTGTTGAATGGCCGTGATTGCTTCTTTCCTTACTCTCGCATTGAACATCCTCCCTCATCACGCTCATCCTTTCCAGGCTTATCCTCCTACTCCTCCTCCTAAGCTACCCCCTCTCAATAATCTATGATGAGTGTAATAATGAGTACGATTACGAGTACGAGTACGATTATGATAATGATGATGACGACGATGATGATGATACTGCTGCTGATGATGATGATACCGATGATGATCATGGTAGTGATCACGGTGATGATGGTGATGACGGTGATGACGGTGATGATGATGATGATGATGATGATGATGATGATGATGATGATGATGATAATACTGATTCTGATGATTATGATGATGATGGTGACGGTGATTGTGATGATGATGATGATGATGATGATGATGATGATGATGGTGGTGATGATGATGACCACGACGATGACGACGACGACGACGACGACGACGACGACGGTGACGACGACGACGACGACGACGACGACGACGACTCCCTCCTCGCTCTTCCTCCTCCCCCTCTCCAGTGTTACTTTTCTCCGCATCCTTCCATCGCATGCAATATCAAATGATTATGCATATCTTTCCTTCCCCCATTCTCCCCCTATCGTTCTCTTTCTCATTGATGCTTCGCCTCTTCTTTCTCCCATCCGCTCCGAACGTGGGGCGAGGAGGAAGGGAACAACGAGAAGGGCGAACGGAAAATATAAAGGATGAGGACATGAGAAAGGATGAGAGAATGTGTAGGAGGAGGAAGAGTGTTGCGCATCCGTACTTGAAGGACGGATGACAAGAGGAAAAAAGGCAATGAAAGGAACGATGAAGGAGGGAAGCAAGAGAAGGAGGTGGAGGACGAGCTTCATGCTCTTCGCGTCCTTCGTCATCGCATACGTCACAGTGTTTTTCGGCGTTCTTATTCTTATTGCTCTTATGCATGTTTCGTTCTGCTTTTCCCATAGCCATTTTTGATTTCAATCTCCACTCAACGACAGCCAACGTTTGCCAGGACTCACGCCACCAGCGCCGAGCAGCGATGCCCGTGTGCGATAACAAGGGTTGCAAGTGGGGACCGGCCGGCAAGGGCTCCCCGATGTCCTCGCCTGGCATATGCGTCCTGTGCCAATGTGAAAACACAATGTTTTTGTATTCAAAACCAATTTTCCTTATGAAAACACATTTTTTTGCATCCCAAACCAATTTTCCTTATGAACACATAACGTTTTTGCATCCCAAACCAATTTTCCCAGTGAAAACATATTGTTTTTGCATCCAAGTCAATTTTCCATATGAAAACACAATGTTTTTTAATACACAACCAATTTTCTTTGTGAAAACATAATGTGTTTGCAACCAAAAGCAATTTTACTTTTGAACACACAATGTTTTTGCATCCAGAATCAATTTTCGGTTTAAACATACAATGTTTTTGCATTCAAAACCAGTTTTCCTTTTGAACACACAATGTTTTTTATATCAACAACCAATTTTGCTTGTGAAAACATAATGTTGTTTAGCTCGGATATCACAACGCCTTATATACGGTTTTTACAATATTTCTATATATATATATAAGTATGATGTCACGAAGCCCTGGCAGGTTTTGTCTTTTTGGTATTTTTTGTGTTTGTTTTTTGGGGGCCAAGCGGAATTTGGCCAGTCAGACTGAGCTGACGGCGGCCCCGAATTTTCGTGGGGCCCAAAAAAGACAAAAAAGACAAACAAAACAAAACCTGCCAGGGTTTCGTGACAGCATAAACCAAAAAAAAGTCAAACATTGACAAAACCTGCCAGGGTGTCGTGATATCCGAGCTAAAAGCATTGCGTTTTCACAAGCAAAGTTGGTTTTGGATGCAAACACATTGTGTTCACACAAGGAAAAAATGGTTTTGAATGCAAGAACATTGTGTTTAACAGAGAAAATTTGTTCTGTATGCAAAAACATTGTGTTTTCACATGTAAAATTGGTTTTGAACGCCAACGCATTGTGCTTTCATATGAAAAATTGGTTTTGGATGCAAGAACCTTGTGTTTTCACAGGGAAACTTGGTTTTGGATGCAGAAACATTGTGTTTTCATAAGGGAAAGCTGCACTCTTTGACCTCCTGAACCAAATTGGAATCCATTGGACCTGGGAACTTGTCAATCTCTTTGAAATTCTTATTTGAATCAAATCCAATTGAAACCCACCTCTTCCTCCTCCTCGCAAACAGTCTGAATCGAAGTCTTTTGGACCTTCTCAAGACGCATGCGGCGCAGTCTTCTGTTTGGAAGAGGGGGTCGCATCAAAGTCTTTTGGACCTGGGATCTGCTTCAGTCCGATTGAATCCTTATTTGATTTTTATTGAAATTCAAGTGACATCCATTGTAACTCGGGTCTGGGCCATTTCTTTGAAAGTCCTATTTGGAATCTAATTGAATCCGATTGAAATCCTCTGGATCTGGAGCCTGCTCCAGTCCGATTGAATTTTTGTTTGGTTCCTATTCAATTATAATCAAAATCTTTTGGAACTGGGATCTGCTCCAGTCCGATTGAATCCTGATTTGATTTTTATTGAAACTCTAATTGAAATCTATCGGAACTGGGGTTTGGGCCATTTCTTTGCAATTCCTATTTGAAATCCAATCGAATCCAATTGAAACCCTCTGGATCTGGAGTCTGCTCCAGTCCGATTGAATTCTTGTTTGGTTCCTATTCAATTCCAATTTAAATCCTCTGGATCTGGGATCTGCTCCAGTCCGATTGAATCCTTATTTGATTCTTATTGAAATCCAATTGGAATCCATTGGAACTGGGGTTTGGGCAATTTCTTTGAAAGTCCTATTTGGAATCTAATCGAATCCAATTGAAATCCTCAGGATCTGGAGTCTGCTCCAGTCCGATTGAATTCTTGTTTGGTTCATATGCAATTCAAATAACAATCCTCTGGAACTGGGATCTGCTCCAGTCCGCTTGAATCTTCATTTGATTCTCGTTCAAATATAATTGAAATCTCCTGGGTCTGGAAATCTGTACTATTGAATTCGTGCAAGATTCAAGTTGTAACTCTTGGGTACAGACATACAGGGATATATATGTATGAAGAATACCAGAAAAAAACTATGAGGACGGAGTGCTGGGGGGGTGTCTCCATGTATGTATGTATGTATGTATGTATATATATATATATATATATATATATATATATATATGGATGTATGTGGGTTCGGTCATCAACCACACAGTAATAATCACAGTTTCGAACTTTGTAATTCTGAGTGCAGCAGCGTTGCACCTTCGAATGCTCCAGTTGCCCAGGGAAGTGCGATTCTGGCGGTCAGCGGGGAGGTTCGGGTGGGGGATTTCGTGGTCGATGCCAGTCACTCGCTCCATCACTGACCGAAGTTTCAGTTATTTCTTCTGCAGTGCTTGCGGGCGGGCTGCAATTTTTGACCCTCGGTAGTTGGCTGCGCCCTGTCGGCTGCCGATTTTCCAACACAGCGGAAGAACCTGGGCCGGATTAGTAGCGGGCCCTTGCCTGGCTAACGGCGGCCATTTGCTGCGGTCGTGGGAGCTGTGGGTGGTCGCTCGTGCCCGCCAGGTCTCTTGCATAAAGACGGGCAGCCCACGCTCTCCCGTGGTGGGGGGGGGGGCCCGGGAGGTGTCGCCATTTCAGTCGCCTCGCCCGCCGTGTTTGTGCAGGGTGGGCGCGTCGCTGTGCCGCGGGAGGTGCCCCCGCCACCGCAGCTGCTTTCGACGGGGTTGTCAGCCCAGTCCAGGGCGCCGTGCGTACCCCAAGATAAATGGTCGAGTCATTCCGCGAGGGAGAGGAGTATGCGTGTCCGCTGGTAGCGGCTGTTCGGCCCTCTGGGGGGAACGGTTCGGACTAAACAAAACTTTGAGGGTGAAGCTCCGCCTGCGGCCTCTTTGGCCGGGCTGGGCTTCACTTCCTAGTGTTGCCCCCCCTTTGCGCTCAGATTCATGTCGCAGGCCTAGAGGTTGACACCAACACCAAAATCGGCGGTGTTCCTCCACCGAGGGAAAAAGATCCCGATCTCGGTGATGGTGGTAATATTCTGGCTTCCAAGGTGGCCGAAATATTACCACCAACACCGGAATCTAGGATCACCTCCCCCCTGTGGAGGCAGCCCCCTGTCTTGGTGTTGGTGCCCATTTCCAGGCCTCCCATCATGATGTTCGTCATTTGGTTCGTGTGCTGGCCGCGCGGGTCCTTTGGGATGCAGCTTGTGGTGAGGCAGCCACGATACAGTCCGCGCCCTCTCCTTGGACGTCAGGCTGCTGGATCGGCCGATGCCCCTTTCGTCCTTTTGCGCCCTTGCGGGCACCCGCGCCCTTCCGCCTATGTTTTTCTCTGTCTCTGCGAGTCGTCAGTCATCGTCTGGCTTCCTGATACCCTCCGCGCCGTGTCTTTTGCAGTGTACATAGTCTGTCTGCTTCGGATACGGCTGAGCCTTGAGAAAGTCCAGTCTTGCCACCGCTGGCCCTGGTTGCCGGAACCCTCTGTTGAAAGACAATCCCCCCCGTCCCCTTCCTCCTCGCCCCCACCCCCCTCCCCTCCCATCCTCCTCCCTGTCCCCTTCTCCTCCCCGCGTCCTCCCCCGTCCATCCCTCCCTGGCTGCTTAGGTTGTCCCCCCTCCGCCTCCCATGGGCTGCGGCTCAGACCCGTGGAGGGCCTGTGGGCCACGGCCCCGCGAAGGAGCCCCAGCGGGAAAGGCGCGCCTGGGGCGCGCCCGAGGAGGCGGTGCCAGCCACGCCCGAGCGCCGCTCCTGGAGCGCAGGACGGCGCCGTGATCTATGGGGGCCGGGGTGCCGATTTCCATCGAGGAGGAGGAGGAGGAGGAGGAGGAGGAGGAGGAGGAGGAAGAGGAGGAGGAGGAGGAGGAGGAGGAGGAGGAGGAGGAGGAGCACAACGAGGAAGGCAGACCTCTGCGCCACCTGGAACCGCCGAAGCGGGACCAGATGGTCCAGTTCGGGCGGGGGCGGCCGCGCCTGCCTGCCGTTCGCCAGCAGCTCCGCCACCACGCCGAGTTGGAAGATGCGGCGCGGCGGGGCGGAAGGGCGACACGACGGCGGCGGCGACCCCTACCTACTCAGAACTAGAACTCGCACCGTCTTGGGCGAGCTCCCTGCGCCGAGGAATCCTCGACTGCACAACTCCGCGGGGCACAGCACGGTTATCATCAGCACTCACCGCACCAGGCACCGCCTCAGGCGGAGGCCCCGACGGGGCCGAAGGGGCCGAGGGACCGAGACCTTCGCGCCCTCCCGCCAGCGCAATCTTCTGCCCCGTCTTGGGGTGGATGCCGCGCTCGAGCCGACGCGCGTTCATGCGTTGGTTGGCGCGCGTGCTGGCGTTGTCCGCGGGGCCCGTACAAATCGCCAGCCGCTTACGCATGCTGCCAAGCAGTATGCTGGCAGTATCTGTCGATGGCCGTCTTTCCCCAGAGGCGGCGGAGGGCATCAAGGCCAAGGAGGTAGAGGGGGCCTCCAGCAGGCGCAAGTGTGCCGTGACGGCGGTCCGTGGCAGCCGACCCAGGGAGTGTAGGCCTAGTGCCCTGACTTTATTCCTCGCCGCATCGGGGGTGCGTGCGGTCACGACTCCTACTGGGACGGCTGTCATTGGGTGCATCCTGATCGGCACACCTCACGGACTTGAGTTCCGCGAGCAAGGGAAGGCTTGTGAGGGGTGTCTGGCCTCCCTGGCAGTGCGCCCCAGTACTGCCACGCGCAACATTGCCCTGCGGCGGATGGCAAAGCCAACCGCCGGGAGTGGTCATTTTGACCTTTGCAGGCCCTGGTCCGCATGCTGCCAAGCGTACCGTGGGCCCCGCATCTCCTGCAACAAACAGCAGGGCCGCAAGAGAACACATCATGACACAGTTCGCGGAAGCAATCCACGTCCGAGCTTGGCTCGGGAGGCTGGGGAGTAGGCGGCCCACCGACCTCTTGGTCGAGGCAACGAGTGTCCGCAGTCTCCAGAGCAACCGTCACCGCCTCCGACCACGAGCGAGTACGTCGAACCGAACTCACCGATCCAGGAGTCGCACACATGCTGGCGGATGGGTGACGGCCTGCAGTCACTTGTCTCTCGAGAGGTAACCAGGGCCTTTAAACTGGCAGGGGCGCGGGCCGTGCGTCCACACCTCCTGCACTTGTACGTTTGCTCCTCAGCAGTGTAAAACAACACGTGGTTGGTGAGGGACACCTTGGGCGGGGCAGGAGAAATCAGGGAGCGAAGGGGAGCCTCGGGGCCGAGCACTGTCCAACTGCGAGCCTTGAGCATTCTCTGAGCGGCCCAGGCTGTGAATCTGACCGTGCTTTTCTGATAGGCCAGCTCGCCCGCCACCGCTTGACAGAAGCCTTCTGAGAACGTGTGAGGGCGCGCCCCGAGCTTAGCGCAAAAATCGGCCCAGACGTTCCCCGCCCACGTTTTGACACACAAACCCCTGGACAAAACGTCGTCAAGGCTCATGTGGGCGGGGCACCATCGGAACCGCGGAGGTTTGACCACAGGGATCCTGAAAATTGACTCCCATATGGCAGCATGTTTCGCCGTGCCTCTGGCCAACTCGGGGTCCCAGGGGTTCCCTTCACGCACGACAGCCTGCAAATCAGAAACCAGGGTCTCATGGCCAGGGTGGTGGGCGACAGCCTGCCTGGCCGCCCAACGCTCAGCCCTGCCAATCGTTTGCCTAGCATCCTGGGAGGGCCCCGTAGATGGCACGGCATGGCAACAAACAGTCGGATGCCTCTAGCATCTGAACCACCGCCCAGCCAGCTCTGGCCACTTCTGGCAGGCTGGACTGGCAGCAGCTCCCATCTAGGAATGACTCAGGTCCCCAAGCACCTCTGTTGCCGAACTCAAACACCTTCTGGAGGTTCTCGGGGGCCTGAATGGGGACACTTTAAGTCGGGACCCCATAGGTGAGATAGTGCCTATCTACATCGGGATTGCCATCAGTATCTAAGCTAGACTTGGTCAGGGCTCTTCTGTGGTCTGCTAGCTTCTTGGGGACCTCGTCGCCCATGGGGTCCAGGCCCTGGTCGTTAATGAAGGCGGGGCAAACATACCATAAATGTCCGTACGTACCATTGGCCTCGGGGCACATCAGGCACTTGGGGGAGACCCTGTACTTCATAAGGCTGAGCTCGTAGGGTAAAGGGACGACGGTGGACCACACCGCTGCCAGGGCTCCTCTCTGGCGGGGACACTTGACAGCCTGCACACCCTGTCGGAGCGCGCGATGCCACACGGGATGGGTCGACGAGGCAGCCGTACTCATACGCCTCTGAAGCCAGAGGAGGAGGAGGAGGAGGAGGAGGAGGAGGAGGAGGAGGAGGAGGAGGAGGAGGAAGCGGGGGGGGGAATCGAGGAATCGAGGATGACGGCGCAGGTCTCCCAGGCCGCGGGGGCCCTCGCGCGGCGCGCCGTCGCGCGCGCCGCGCAGGCCCGCCAGAAGAGGAAGTCGAAGGAGAAGTCCCGGCGCGCCTTCTGTCACGAAATGTGGCCCCGTAATGCGCGCAGAAGAGGACATCGAAGGAGAAGTCCCCCAGCAGGCCTTCCACTGGAAGCCTTAGGTCCGCCCCGCCGACGCCGCCTCCAGCTCCGCGTCGCGCTCCGTGTCGACGGGGAAGATGACGCGAGGGCGAGCGGCGCGGCGGCCTGGCTTGGGCCACAGCCCGCGAGCCGTCCGCCGCAGGTACTCAGCTCCTGTGGGCGTCGCCTCGGGTGGACACGCCGCCACCAGCCCTGCGCCCAGCGCCCTGCCCCCGACGGGGGCGAAAAAGCCGCAGGCGGCGCACTGCCACACGCCGAGGTCGTCCAGGAAAACCATCTTGTGGCTGGCACCCGCCTCCTGGCCCCCGACCTGGACGAGGGGCCCGCCATCGGGGACCACGAGCAAGCCCGGCCCCTTCGGCACGAGCGGCCAGCACGGGGCGGCGAGCCAGGCCGTGCGCGTCGCCGCCGAGGCCGAGCATCGGCAGGCACGGCAGGTGCGGCCGTCGTCGTCCAGCACGTGGGCGGTGGAGAAAGCAGCAGCCACGCCTGCCGCAGGAGGCGCCTGGCGCGGCCGACGGCCGCTCGCCTGGCGCCTGGGGCCCGCCTCCATGGCGTCCAGCGTGGACCGGAGGAGCCGCCACCATACCGCTGTGGCCATCGCCTCGACGCGGCCAACGCGGGCACGCTGGCAGGCGGGAAGCCTGGCGACAACAGCAGCTCGGCCAGCAGCCTCGTCAGCCGCAGCGTTGCCCCGAACCAGCGCGGCTGAGACCCCTCTGGCAATCATCGTCTCCGCGTCCAGGTGGGAGTTGATGTGGACCACCGTGATGGCCCATCTGCCGGGGGGGCTCCGGCTCTCAACCGTCCGCCCGAGGCGCCACCACAGGTCGTGGTCCACGCCGCGCGGCGACTGCTCCTGGCGCTCCCACCAGCCGTCGTGCACAGCAAGGTTGTCCGTCACGTAGACCACCTGGCCCGACGTGCACTCGACGCAGCGTATGAGGCCCAAGAGCTCGCCGCGGTGCACGGTCTGACGCCGGCCCGGGAGGGGCCCATGCATCACCATGCAGGCGGCGAGAAAGCCCGCGTCCATCACCACGAGGCCCACGCCGACCCTGCGCAGCTCGGGGTGCAGGTACTCGGGCCCCCCCGAGGCGTCGCCGAACACGAAGAGCGGCGCGTCGACGTCCCCGTGGCCGAAGAACTCGTCGTTCATCCCGTCGATCGCCCAGGATTCGAACTCCACCGGCGGAGACACCGCCGTCCAGGATCGGGGGACCAGCCCGCGAAGCCAGAAACATGGGAAAGCGTCGACCTCCTCATACGCCCGACTAACATACTTGGCACTGGCCTGGTACGCCTCGGAGCCCGCGCTGCACTCGCAAACCTTGACATGCCCACACCTGGCGCACAAGAAGTCGACGCCATCGCCAGCCGCAGGCTCGAGCTCTTCGCGCCGCTCTCCGGGCCAAGTGCCGCCGACCGCAATGGTCACCATAACCTCCTCGAGCCGATGACCCCCAGGGAGCTTGCCCAGCTGACGGAGGAAACGCTGCAGGCCTGAGAGGTCAGCGCCCTGCTCCAGACCTCCACCGTGCCAGTGGTGAGAGGCCTCCTCCCACAACGAGTCGACCACAGTGTCGTCGAAGGCCTGGATGAGACGCCTGCTGGAGCCGTCGGCCAAAGCGTCTACGTCGGGAAAGGTCCAACGCTCGTGCCCTCCATCGGGCAGGTGCCTGGAAGCGGGGGGGGGGGTGAGGAGGAGGAGGAGGAGGAGGAAGAGGAGGAGGAGTAAGAGGAGGAGGAGGAGGAGGTGGCGGAGGAGGAGGAGGAAGGAGGAGGAGAGGAGGAAGAGGAGGAGCAGGAGGAGGACAGGAAGGGGAAGAGGAGGAGGAGGAGGAGGAGGAGGAGGAGGAGGAGGAGGAGGAGGAGGAGGAGGGGAGGAGGGAGCATGAGGAGGAAATGAGAGGAGGAGAGGAGGGCAGGAGGAGGAGCAGAGGAGGAGGAGGAGGAGGAAGAGGAGGATGAGGAGGAAGAGGAGGAGGAGGAGGAGGAGGAGGAGGAGGAGAGGAGGAGGAGGAGGAGGAGGAGGAGGAGGAGGAGGAGGAGGAGGAGGAGGAGGAGGAGGAGGAGGAGGAGGAGGAGGAGGAGGAGTTGGAGGAGGAGCAGGAGGAGGAGTGCTGGTGTCCGTGTCTGGTGTTCCCCTGGTTCTGCCCGTTCCGCCTGCCTGGCCCGCCCTGCCCACCGTCCAGGCGTCCCGCTCGCTCGCCAGCCCGCTGCTTCCTCTGTGGTCCATCTGTGCATTTGCTCGTGCGTTGGTGCGTTGGGGAAGCGTAAGACTCGAGTGTGCCTGAGCTCGCATTCGCCGACGCTTTTTGATGAGTGCGTTCTTGATTTTGACGTTTTTTTATAGAATGCCTGCAGCGGGAGCCCGCGTCAGATTTAAGACTGGGTCGCGTCATTTTCATGATGGCCCCGTCGCGCCAATCCGAGTCCCCCTAACCCGAGTCTTACGTCTCCCCGATGGTCGGCTTGGTTTATCGTTCGGACCTCCTGGCCGTGAACTGATTTGTCTGGGCTCTCTTCCCTGTTCGTTCGCCTGCGCTGCCGACTGCGACGTGGGGTTTCACCTCCAAGAAGGGGCCGATCCTTGCGAGGACCCACTCTGCATCCTCAGCAGGCCGACTGGTTGGTGCACACGCGCGCAAGCACACACGCAGTCAGAAAGCCTTCCGACACCTGTCGAAAGTCAAACCGTGGCATCGGAAAACCCAGAGGGACCTCCGGGCTGCCTCCTAACAGTGCCGGCGCTGCCATTTGTCCCCGTTGTTGGGGACGGGCAGCTGTTTGCCACCACCCGCCTGGGCCAGGCCCACCCTGGTCAAGCAGTGGCGAAGCGTCCTGGCTCGCCTATAGGCCCACCAAACACAGTCCTAAGAACCTTTTGTGGTCTGCACGAAATGCTCTCATAACATTTCTGGCTGAGACTGTCTTGTTCTCATACATCGGCTTCATGTTTTCAGAACATTGTTTTTGTTCTTGGAGCATGTTTGGGTTCACAGAACATCTCGTGGTAGGCTTATAGCAATGCCGGGACGGTCGGTTTGTGCTGAAAGGCCCTGGGCCCTGGGCTGGCGTGTCGTGTAGACCCTCGAGGCCCAGGCAGCGCAGCCGAGATCCACGCACCAGTCCAGGGCCCAACGGTGGTGTGCCTGGCCAGGGCGCTGTTGTGGCACTGGCTGTAAGTCGGGCCTGTCCCTCTCCAGGAGGAACATCCCCAAATAGTCAACAAAATAGTCTGGGGACGATTGTCGAGTATTCTTGAGTATTGTTGAAGATTGTTTGACACTTTCTCATTTTCCGCTCAAAATCCGCCTGTAGGAGGACATGCCCGACCTAACACTGGCTGCGGGGCTCCGATCCAGGGCTGGACCTAAACGCTGTTTTGCTGGACTTCGGCTGCGTATTGTTTTTCCCTCTTGGCAGGAGGGTGCAGGAAATCAGGTAGAGCAGGACGAACAACAAAACGATAACACAACTACAAAAACACTGTTTAGGTCCAGGCCTGCTCCGATCCCCACGCGCCGCGGGCAGGCAGCAAAAAGCGGCCGCCAGCGCCTGCGTCCGTGGCCCCGGCGCCGGAGCCGCCCAGCCCGGCGCCGCAGAGCCAGGGCCAGGAGGTTTGGAGGGGACGGACGGCCTGCCGGAGGTGTGGGCGTTTGGGCGAGGATGATGGCGGTGGAGCTGGATGATATTCATGATGATGATGATGATGATGATGATGATGATGATGATGATGATGATGATGATGATGAGGATGATGATGATGATAAAAGTGATGACGATAACGATGACGATGACGATGACGATGGTGACGATGGTGATGATGGTGAAGCTGATGGTGTTGCTGATGATGATTGTGCTTGCGATGGGTGATGGTGATGGTGATGATGACGATGGCGATGACGATGCTGAGAACGATGACGATGACGATGCTGCTGCTGATGATGCTGCTGATGATGATGCTGATGCTGATGCTGATGCTGCTGATGATGATGATACCGGCGACAAGTAGTAAGGTGAAGGACAATTATGATATTGTTGATGGTCATTGCTATGGTGGTGACGGTGGTGGTGTTGATGTCGATGGTGATGGTGATGATACTGATGATGCTGATGATGATGATGATACTGAGGGTGAGGCGGTTGATACTGATGATTGCTGATGATGGTGATGACGATGACGATGCTGCTGATGATGATGGTGATTCCAATGATGATTACAATGATGATGAGGAGGAGGACGATGCTGATGATGCTGCTGATGATGATGATGATGATGTTGAGGAAGATGAGGGGGATGCTGATCATACTGATACTGATGAAGCTGATGCTGATGATGGTGACTATGTTGATTATTCTGATGATGGCGTTGAAGGTGATGACGGGGCTGATGATGTTGATGCTGATTAGGATGATGATGATGATGATGATGATGATGATGGTGATGAGGATTATGGTTGGGATCATGATGATGACGATGATGAAGCTGATTGCTCTGATGCTGGTGATGATGATGGTGATGGTTGTGCTGGTGAACCTGATGATACTGATACTGTGCTTGTTGTTGTTGCTGTTGTTGTTGGTGATGCTGCTGCTGTTGTTGTTACTGTTTCCTACCTAGGCTCTGCCTCGAAGGGTTCTTACTCTCTGGGCTTAAAGGGGCCGGGCAGTGGAAAGCGCCCCGGGCGGTTCCCCCAGTATCCGCCCCGCGGTTCCCCCAGTTACGTCCCCTTAGCTCAGCGTTGCTTATCTCATCTTAGCGCAGCTTTTTTCATCATAGCTTAGCTTAGCTTCATCTTAGCTCATCTCATCTTAGCTTACCTCAGCTTAGCTTCATCTTAGCTTAGCATAGCATAGCATAGCTTAGCATAGCACAGCGCAGCATGACATAGCATAGCTTAGCATAGCATAGCATTTCATAGCATAGCGCAGCATAGCATAGCATTTCATAGCATAGCGCAGCATAGCATGGCATGGCATGGCATAGCATAGCATAGCATAGCATAGCAACTAATGCTGCTTTCCTAGGGGCTCCTACTTCTAGGTAGGGTCGCACTGGGGTAATTGTTGTTACGGTTCTCGTTGTTGCCGTCGTTATTGCTGGCGCTGTTGCTGTTGCTATTGCTGTTGTTATTGTTATTGTTGTTGTTGTTGTGGTTGTTGTTGTTGTTGTTGTTTGTGTTGTGGCTGTCGTTGTTGTTGTCGTTGTCGTTGTCGTTGTCGTTGTCGTTGTTGTTGTTGTCATTGTTGTCGTTGTTGTTGTTGTTGTTGTCGTCGTTGTTGTTGTTGTTGTTGTTGTTGTTGTTGTTGTTGTTGTTGTTTGTGTTGTGACTGTCGTTGTTGTTGTCGTTGTCGTTGTCGTTGTCGTTGTCATTGTTGTTGTTGTCGTTGTTGTTGTTGTTGCTGTTGTTGTAGTTGTTGTTGTTTGTGTTGTGACTGTCGTTGTTGTTGTCGTTGTCGTTGTCGTTGTCGTTGTCGTTGTTGTTGTTGTTGTTGTTATTGTCGTTGTCGTTGTTGTTGTCGTTGTCGTTGTCGTTGTGGTTGTGGTTGTTGTTGTTGTTGTTGTTGTTGTTGTTGTTGTTGTTGTTGTTGTTGTTGTTGAGGGTTGCTCGGACAATGATGCCCGTGGTGGTGGCGACGCTGCTGATGAAGAGGTGCCGCTGACTCGAAGGATTGTCCCTGTGCGTCCGCTGATGGTGCCATCAAGTCTGAATGGGAATGCAGCGCAGAAAGGACGCGAAGACTCTTGAAGAGGAGTGCGATCGTGAACTGCACCGCTGCAATGGCACACTGTGTTCAGCAGCCGCCAGCACGTGCCCTGGGCGCACGCCGTTTGCGCGCGGGCGGATGCAGAAGCGGGTGCGCCGATGGCAGTCTCGAGCCACGCTGGGCCTGTCCCTGGGTTGCCTCTTCGAGGCGGGCGGATATGATGCAATTGCGCCCAGAGGCCCAAGTCCGGTCCATGGATGACATCCGCGTCGGCCTCTTTGCAGTGGGCCCTCGCTCCCCGAGCAGGAGCGCGTGCTCCCTGCAGATCGAGTGCCACTTGCAGCAGGGGTCGACCCAAATGATGGGCAAATGTTCCACAACCACTATCATATGTAGGACGGGGGAGACGGGAGGATGAGGAGGTCTTCCTCCTCCTCCTCCTCCTCCTTCCTCTCCTACCTATGGTAGTGGTGGTGGAAAATGGGCCCATCACTAAGCGGTGCCATCTTCGTTTCGATTTTCCGTTTTGCAGCAGAGGCGGACTGCTGACAAAAGTAGGGTCAACGAAGACACGACGAACACGAAAACCACTGCTCAGGTCGATCCCTGGCCTGCAGTAGTGCAGAGACCCGCAGCGTGTCCGCTGCTCGGCGAGGGGTGCTGCACCGCCCGCCCGGTCGGGGCTTCCCTGGGCCGTGCGTCTACTCCTCCCCCTCCTCCTCCTCCTCCTCCTCCTCCCTCCTCGTCCTCCTTCTCCTCCTCCTCTCCTCCTCCTCCTCCTCCTCCTCCTCCTCCTCCTCCTCTCTCCTCCTCGTCCTCTTCCTCCTCCTCCCCCTCCTCTCCTCCTCTCCTCGTCGTCCTCTCCTCTCCTCCTCCTCCTCCTACTCCTCCTCCCTCCTCCCTCCTCCCCCTCCTCCTCCTCCTCCGTCACTTCTTCCTCCTCCTCTCGTTGTCGTTGTTGTCCTCCTCCTCCTCCTCCTCCTCCTCCTCCTCCTCCTCCTCCTCCTCCTCCTACGTCTCTTCCTCATCCTCCTCCTGCCACGGAGGTGCCGATTCGCCCGAAGCTGTGAATGCTTCAACAGCTGAGACTGGGGTGTCGAAGGCCAAACTGGCAGATTGGATTGGGCTTCTGAGACCAATGCAGCATTAGCCTCCTGCGAGTTCCACTCCGGCGCCAGCCCAGCGCAGCCCAATCCGGCGCTGACTTTCTCAAGCTGATTCTTCTGCCCGTCGCGGGAGGCCGTCTCAGAGACGGCCTCCCGCGGACGGCGTCAACGAGACCGGCAGGGACGCTGTTAGCATTGTGCAGATCTCAGAGACGCTGCCAGTGGCGACAGGCGCTGCTGCGGCGTCACATATTAGGGTTGGTCAATCATTTCAGCGTGCCCGAGCTCTTGAGTCCTTCAGACCTCCCCGAGTGAGCACCGACATGTCTGGGTCTTGCTTGTCCAGTGCGCAGATGCAATGGATGAGGTGATGGGGCGCGTGCAGTGGTGTTTTTGTGTCTGGCGAAAGGGAGAAATGGATTTGGAGCCTCGATCAGCCGTCTTGCACTCCACGCTTCGTGTTGCGCTGTGTTACTGTGTCCCCGCTTTCTCTTGACTCTCCCTTTCTCCCCCACTCTTCATCTCTTTCTCTCTCTATCCCCCTCTCTCTCTCTCTCTTCCTCTCTTCATCTTCGCCCCCTGATTCCAGCCCTCCCTCCTTCTGAGAACGAGGACGCGGAGTATTCTGACTACGAACTCGTGCGCTTGCTCTCAATTTGTATATTTTGGCGCTGGCCGTCTGACCTTCCCATGGCACTGCTGGGGATATCCTGCCGATCGCAGGGCCGCTAGGACGCCCCTGGGCAGCGGATTCAGACCTGGTGTGGTTGGGCAGCCTGTGGGCCTGGAGTGCCCCCCCCTGAGTCTTCTGTGATCTCCGGCCCGCTCCACAGGCGTGCTGCCACGTGGAGGGAGGGCGGAGGGATGAGGGAGGGAGGGAGGAGGGAGGGAGGATAAGGAGGAGGAGGAGGAGGAGGAGGAGTAAGAGGGATGATGACGACGAGCAGGAGGGATCGGGGAGGAATGGAGGAGGAGGAGGAGGAGGAGGAGGAGGAGGAGGAGGAGGAGGAGGAGGAGGAGGAGGAGGAGCAGGGGAGGAGGAGGAGGAGGAGGAGGAGGAAGAGGATGTGGAGGAGGAGGAACAGGAGGAGGAGGAGGACCAGACGGGGGATGGGGGAGGGGGCGGAGGAGGAGGAGGCGGAGGAGGAGGAGGAGGAAAAGGAGAAGGAGGAGGAGGAGGAGGAGAGGAGGAGGAGGCGAAGAAAGCAGAGGTCGAAACAAGAGGGGGAGCGGGAGGGTGAGCGGAGGAGGGGCATGGAGAGGAGAGAGGAGGGGGAGGGAGGAGGAGGAGGAGGAGGAGGAGGAGGAGGAGGAGGAGGGAGGAGGAGGAGGTGGAGGAGAGGGAGTAGGAGGAGGAGGCGGAGGAGGAGGAGGACGAGGAGGAGGAGGATGAGGAGGAGGAGGAGGAGGAGCGAGAGGAGGAGAGGGAGGGGGATGAGGATGAGGAGGAGGAGGAGGAGGAGGAGGAGGGACGAGGAGGGAGGAGGAGGGAGGAGGGAGAAGGTGGGCGGAAAGGTAACACGCACAATATAGAGCATCCGACGGTTGCGCGTCCTTCTTCGAGTTTGTATCGTCCAGCCCCCAATGCGCAGGTCCCAGGCGCCTCCCTCTTCCCCCTGTCTCCTCCCTCCTCCCTACTCTGTCCACTCTTCTCGCCCTTCCTTCCTCCTCCATCCTTTCTCCCCTGCTTCCTTTCTCCCTCGTCGCTCCGCCCTTCTTTCTCATCCCTGCTCCCTCGTCGTCGTCGTCGTCGTCGTCATCGTCGTCCTTCTCCTCCTCCGTCCCGCCTTATCCCTTCTCACTTCCTCGTTCTCCTCCTCCTCCCGCCTCCCTACACTCTCGCTCCTCCCACCGATCCTCCCTCCTTTCTCCTTTTTGCTTCTCACCCAGAGAGGGTCCAGAAGCGGAGTCCCAGGTCCTGAACGGTCAGAAGGAGCTTAGCTTGGACTCGCACGAGCTTATCGACTTCAACGACCTTACCCACAACGAGTGCCTTGGCACGGGGGGGTTCGGCGCTGTGTACAGGACGCCTCGTCTTCCTCTGCCTCTTCGCAGGGCAATGGGGACGATAGGGAGGAACTAATAGGGATGATGACGATGCAGACGGATGGTGGCGATGCAGACGATGCTGCCGATCATGGCCATGTTGAAGATGAAGAGGGATGATTCCGACGATGCTCATGCTGATGCTGATTGTATTGTTGTGGTGGTTGATGGTGGTGGCACTGGTGACTATGACGACGATGCTGACGATGATCGCGATACCGATGGCGCTGACGGCGACGACGAGGATACTGATAATGGTGATGATGATGATGATGATGAGGTCGCTGCTACTGCTTATGACGATGCTGATGATCATGCTGACGATGATGCTGCTGCTGATGATGATGAATACGATGAAGCTGATGATGGGAGGGGGGCATGAGGAGACTTGTTGACAGAGGTGCGGGCAGTAAGAGGTTGAAGTCAATCATGCTGCTGGTGATTTTCTGCTGCCGACGACGATCGAGATGCTGATAAAACGGCGGCCGTGATGTGATGACGAGAATGAGAACGATACCAGGAAGATGGTGATGATGATGATGCTGATAATGATGCTGATGACGATGCTGATGATGCTGATGATGCTGATTCTGATAATGATGATGAGTATGATGATGCTGCTGATGATGATGGTCATGCTGATGATGATGGTGTTGATGATGCTGATGGTGATGATGCTGATGATTGTGATGAGGATGATGTTGATGATGGTGATTGTGATGGTCATGTGATGATGATGACGATACTGATTGCGACGGCCATGATGGCGATGCTTCGGAGGAGCAGGAGGGGAATGACGACGACGGTCCCTGGAGGGCTGTGGTCTACAGAGGTTCACACGCCTGTGCAGGCATAGCGAGGCCCGACAGCATCCGCAGTTCCAAAACGTCAGAACGGCGATCAAGTATGAGGAGAAGTCTGGATACGAATTTGAGTAAAGGGGAGGGTGAGGAATTAAGAGAGGAGCAGGCAGGAGGACGACCTCCATGAGGGAGGACAATAAGGATACAGGAGGAGGACCATGACCTGGAAGGGAAGGGGGACGATGCTGGTGATGCTGACGATGATGATGATGGTGATGGTGATGGTGCTGGTGGTGCTGGTTTCGGTGAGGATGATGATGCTGATGATGACGGTGAGGATGCTGATGATGCTGATGATGCTGATGATGATGATGATGCGGATGCTGATGCTGCTGATGATGATGATGATGATGATGATGATGATGATGATGCTGGTGATTGTGCTGGTAATGAGGATGGGTGATGGATGAATGATGGTTATGGTGTTCGTGCGTGTGCTGGTGATGGCTATACTGCTGGTCATGATGATGGGTATGCTTGTGCTTATGGTTATGGTGTAGGTGTTGGTGATGATGACGATGATAATGACGATTCTGATGGGATGATGATACTGAGGATGATGATGCTGATTGTTCTAGTAATGATGATGGGTGATGAGTGAATGATGGTGATGGTGCTGGTGCTGGCGCTGGTGATGTTAATGGTGGTAGTGATGACTATAATTGTAGTCTCGGTAATGGTGTTGGTGATGGTTATGATGATGGTGATGATGACGATGATGGTGAGGCCGATTCAGATGTTGTTGATGATGATGCTGATGATGATGATGAGGATGGTGGCGTTGACGTTGATGTTGATGTTGATGTTGGTGATGCGGATTGTGATTGTGATGGCGATGCTGATGATGCTGATAATGAGGATGATGGCGGTGATGATGCTGACGCTGATGCTGACGATGTTGATGATGCTGCTGATGCTGCTGCTGATGATGATGCTGCTGGCGATGCTGATTATGCTGCTCATGGTGATGCTGAGTCTTGTTAGTAGAGGTGCTGGTAGAGAAGATTTGAGACACTGATGCTGCTGGTGATTTGTTGCTTCTGCTGGAGATGATCGTGTTGCCGATGGGAACGGCGGTCGTGATTGGATGAAGAGACTGCGAATGATACCAATGACGATGACGATGATAATGATCATGATGGTAATGATCCTGATGCTGACGATGCTGATGATTATGGTACTGATGCTGATACTGACGCTGCTGATGATGATGACGATGATGATGCGGATGATGCTGCGGAGACGGATGATGACGATACTGATGATGCTGTTGATGTTGATGTTGATGGTGTTGATGGTGATGATGGCAATTGTGATGGTGACGGTGATGGCGAGGGTGATGGTGATGATGATGATGACGTTGCTGATAATAATGATGCTGATGATGACGGCAATGAATGCGACGGCCATGCGGGTGACGATTAGGAGACGCAGCAGTGGGATGACGACGACGACGACGACGGTCCCTGGACGACTGTGGTCTCCAGAGGTCCACAGGCATGTGCAGACATAGCGGGGCCCGACAGCATCCGCAGCTCCATCTTGTCAGAGCGACGATCAAGTATGAGGAGAAGTATTGATACGGATAATGAGTAATGGGGAGGATGAGGATTACGAACAGGATCTGACAGGGTCGCCTTCCTGAGGGAGGGCAATCACGATGCAGGAGGAGGAATCGGAGCGGGACGGGAACGCAGGTGATGGTGACGATGTTGATGACGCTGGTGGGGGTGATGGTGATGGTGGTGGTGGCGGTGATGATGATGATGCTGATGATGATGATGCTGCTGCTGATGATGATGATGATGATGACTGCGCGCTGGTGATGACGAATGATGGGTGGTTGATGGGGACGATGGATGCGATGGTGATGGTGCTCATGATTGTGATGTTGAGAGTTATGATTGTAGGCACGGTGTTGGTGTTGGTGCTCTTGATGATGATGAGGATGATTCGGATGACGAGGATGATGATGTTGACGATGGTGAGAGTTCTGATGATTATGATCGTGAACGTGATTGTGATGGTGATGCTGCTGCTGATGATGATGACGACGCTGACGATGCTGGTAATGCTGGTGATGCTGATGAGGCTGATGATGCTGCTGATGACGACGACGGCGATGCTGATGCTTGTGATGATGACGATGCTGCTGCTGCTGATGATGCTGATGATGATGATGGTGGCAATGATGTGGATGCTGCTGATGATGACGCTAATGGTGCTGATTGTTTTGATGCTGGTGGTGATGATGGCGATGAAGAGGACGCTGCCGATTTTGATGATGATGCTCACCATGATGATGCTGCTGATGATGATGAGGTTGACGATACTGCTGCTGATACTGGTGATGATGCTGTGATGCTGATGATGCTTGCGATGATGATGAAGCTGACAATGACGACTATGCTGATAATGATGACGGTGATGGTGATGATGCTGATGACGATGCTGAAAATGATGATGACGCTGCTAATGATGATGCTGATGATGATGAAGATGATGATGCAGACCAGGATGATGAGGATGATGATGATGATGATGATGATGATGATGCTGATGATTCTGCTGATGATGTTGATGATGACGGTGGTGATGAGGATGATGATGGTGATGATGATGATGATGTTAATGATGCTGAGGCTGATAATGATGCTGATGATCCCGATGATGCTGATGATGATGATGAGGATGAGGATGTGGAGGAGGAGGATGTCGGTGGTGCTGATCATGCTGGTGATGATGATGATGCTGATGATGATGGTGACGGTGATGATAAGGACGAGGATTCTGTTGCTGGTGATGATGATGTGATGATCCGATGACGATGACTTTTATTATGCTGCAGCTGCTGATGCTGCTGCTGATGATAATGCGGATGATGCTGATGATGGTGAGGATAATAATAAGGATGATGGTGGTAGTGGTGGTGATGATGATGCTGATGATGATGATGATGATGATGATGATGATGATGATGATGCTGCTGTTGATGATGATGATGTAGTTGAGCAGGCAGAGCAGGAGAGGGAGGAGGAATAGGAGGAGGAGGGGGTGGAGGATGCGGATGTGAAGGAGGAGGAGGCGGAGGACGAAGAAGAGAAGGATGAGGAGGATTAGGAAGAGGAGGAGGAGGAGGAGGAGGAGGAACAGGAGGAGGAGGAGGTGGATCTAGAAGGGGAGGAGGAGGAAGAGGAGGAGGAGGAGGAGGAGAAGGAGGAGGAGGACTAGTGCAAACCCAAGAGCCATCACGAATGTGGGAATATACCCTCCCTCCAAGCTCCCTCTTCATAGACCCCTACAACGGTTCATTTCCATTGAGGGATCTGCCTCGTTTGAAGACAACCGTTTCAAGACCTGGAGGCATGCCAGCACCTTGTTGTCGGAATTCCGACGCCACGGATCAATCTGACTGTTGCGTCTTGACGGTCCTGGATCGTGCGAACCCCAAGAACGCCATTCTTGGGGTTTCAACACCGCGAACCATCGTAATTGTTGAACCCGCAAAATCCGGAATCCCTCCAAAACACAATTTCTGGTACGTTGATCGTGGGAACCCGTGAAACTCTGGTAACTTTGTGCGAACGAATATGCGCGGCGCTGAGGCGAGAGCCACATTTTTTAAAGGAGCCGCCTTCAATCCGTGAAACTCATTGCAAATTTTTAAACGAATTTCGGAAAGCGTGCCATTAGATAGCCCTGAATACACTAAGGGGTGTGTGTGCTCGCAGAACCCCCCCGCCCTCCCCCCCTTCAAAGGAAGGGGTCAGATTTTCGACCCCCCCCCCCCTTCAGGGGAGAGGGTTCGAACCCCCCTCCCCCCCCCCTCCTTGAAGGGGGGGGGGGGGGGTCCAGACCCCCCCCCTTTTCTCCCCCCTTGGCGTTGGAAAGGGGGGGGTGGTCGACCCCCCCCCCTCCCCCCCCTTTGCGCCGAACATGGGGCTGGGGAGGGGGCCTTTCGTTTAGTGAGCAGGGAGTAGAGTGTTTTGAGTCGCGATTGGTGAGTAGTGGGTATTTGATAGTGAGTAATACGCAGTGGGTCGTGAGTGGTGAGTAGTGAGTAGTGGGTAATGGGTAGTGGTAGTAGTGAGTAGCGCGTAGAGATGGGTGAGTAGTGAGTAGTGAGTAGTGGGTAGTGAGTAGCGGGAAGGAAGTAGTGCGTAAGGAGTAGTGAGTGGGGAGGAGTGAGTAGTGTGTAGTGAGTGGTGCGTAGTGAGTAGTAAGCAGGGAGTAGGGATGAGGGAGTAGACGGTAGCGAATAGCGCGGAGTGAGTAGTGAGTAGTGAGTAGTGCGCAGTGAGTAGAGAGTAGCGAGTAGTGCGTAGTGTGTAGCGAGTAGCGAGTAGGGAGTAACGGGTAGGGAGTAGCGAGTAGTGAGTAGTGAGTAGCGAGTAGGGCGTTGTGAGTAGTGAGTAGTGAGGAGGGAGGAGTCAGGAGTCACTCGTGCGTAGTGATGAGTAGTGAGTAGTGACTTGTGAGTAGTTCGTAGGAAGTAGGGAGTAGTGAGTAGTGAGTAGTGGGTAGTGTTGGGAGTAGCGAGTAGGGAGTAGGTAGTAGTGAGTAGTGTGTAGTGGGAGCGTAGCGAGTAGTGAGTAGTGGGTAGTGAATAGTGCGTATCGGGTAGCGAGTAGGGCGTAGGGAAACGCGAGTAGTGAATAGTGAGTAGTGACTATTGTGTAGGGAGTCGGAGTAGCGGGTAGCGAGTAGTGTATCGTGAATAGTGAGTTGTGGGCAGTGAGTAGTGAGTTGTGAAATGTGAGTAGTGAGTAATGGATAGTGGTTAGTGGGTAGTGAGTAGTGATAGGTGATTAGTGAGTAGTGGGTAGTGAGTGGTGTTTAGTGAGTAGTTAGTAGTGAGTATTGAGAAATGGATAGTGAGTAATGAGTAGTTTGTAGTGAGTAGTGAGAAGTGAGTGGGGATTAGGGAGTAGTGAGTAGTGCGTCGTGGGTAGTGAGTCGTGGGTAGTGAATAGTTTGTCGTGAGTAGTGAGTAGTGAGTATTGAGAAGTGAGTAGTGAGTAGCGATAAATGAATTGTGGGTAGTGAGTAGTGCGTAATGAGTAGTGAGTACTGTTTGGGGCTAGGGTTTGGGTTTGGGGTTAGGGTTAGGGGTTAGGCCAAGTTGCCCCCTCCCCGCCCGCAAGCCGTCTCGCTCACTCCCACCCGCCCTCCCAACACAGACGTAGCACCCGAGTCTGGCCCGAGCCTGAGCACATTCAGCAGTCGTCTTGGGATGGGCAGCTACTGGGGGCCAATCCGCCGCCGCCGCCGCCGCCGCCGCCCCCCGCTGCCAAACCGCCGCCGCCGCCGCAGCCACTGCCGCCACCGCTGCCGCCGCCGCCGCCGCCGCCGCCGCCGGCTCAGCCGCCGCCGCGCCGCCGCTGCCGCCGCCGCCACCGCCGCCGCCGCCGCCGCCGCCGCCGCCGCCGCCCCCGCTGCCCAACCGCCCCCGCCGCCGCTGCCGCTGCCGCTGCCGCCACCGCCGGCGCCGCCGCGCCGCCGCCGCCGCCGCCGCCCCCGCCCCCGCCGCTGCCGCCGCCGCCGCCGCCGTCGCCGCAGCCGCCGCAGCCGCCGCCCACCGCCGCCGCCGCAGCCGCCGCAGCCGCCGCCGCCAAGTGTACTCTGTATGGTTTTTGACAGGGATGGTGGTGGGGGGGGCGCATCGGGTTGGCTGCGCATGTTCCGAATTTGGAAAGAGAGTGTGGTTTGCACTGTTTTCTACAAGGGATGGTGGGGGGGTGTCGGCATGGACCCTGGTTGACCCCCAGTCGCCTGGGGGAGGGGGTGTTTGTTAATAGGGAGCAGTGATTAAGGGTGAGGATTAGTGTTAGGGGTGGTAGGGGTCGGGTTCCGCAAACCGGGGGCGCCGTGGTGAAAGGGGGGAAGGGGGAGGTTCGAATTTGGCGGCCAAAGGGGGGGAGGGGGGGTCCCCGACGACGGACCGGGAAAGGGGGGGGGGTCCCCGACGACGGATCGGGAAAGGGGGGGAGGGGGGGGGGGTGTTCCCCGACGACGGCGGATCGGGGAAAAGGGGGGGGGGTCCCAACCCCCCCACCCCCCTTGGGGTCATCCAGCGGCGCGCCCTCCGAATTTCGCGGCGCAAGGCGAAAACCATAATTTGAAAACGGGTTATCCTCAATCCGTCAAGCTCTTGCACATTACGACTGTGCGCGGCGCTAAGGCGAAAACCACATTGTGAAAACGGGTTATCTTCAATCCGTGAAACTCTTTGCATTTTTTACACGAGCGTGCGCGGTGCCAAGACGAAAACCACATTTTGAAAACCACCCGCCCTCCATCTGCGAAGCTGTAGCCAAGTTTTAAGCTACCGAGTCATACATGGTGAGGAAGTCTCAGGCGAAACGCCCGGCCCGCCCTGAAAACTGGCTTCGGGGTGTGACAGGGGGAAATTACGGGAATGAGGATTTGCGCCTTTCCGCTCAGTGTCGGCTTGTGGGGCGCAGTCATGGAAGACCAGGGGGCGCCCGCGTGCAGGGGCTACTACCAGGAGAGGGAGGTGGCCATCAAAAAGCTGTTCTGCGAGGACGGAGGCCTGACAGCACCTCGTTCCTCGAGAAAGCCTCGATGGATCCTCGATCCTCGATCCTTGATCAATCCTCGATCGATCCTCGATCGATCCTCGATGGGTCCTCGATCCTCGATCCTCGATGGATCCCCCATCCTCGACACTCGATGGATCTTTGGTGGATCCTCGTTTTCTTTGCGCCGGATGCTTCTGGGATCAGTTGGATTTGTTTCGAGCCTTCACCTCTGCGGGGGACCTCTGTAGATGTCGGCGTCCTTTCGAAGCCTCACGCCGGCGACGAGCAGGTGGAGGAGGAGGAGGAGGAGGAGGTGGAGGAGGAGGAGGTAGAGAAGGAGGAGGAGGAGAAGGAGGAGGAGGAGGAGGAGGAGGAGGAGGAGGAGGAGGAGGGTGAGGAGGACCGAGGAGCGAGGAGCGAGGAGGAGGAGGCGGCAGAAGAGGAGGAGGAGCGAGGAGCGAGGAGCGAGGAGCGAGGAGGATGCTCTCCGCGGTCTTCGTGTGTTCTCGGCGGTCTTCGGGGCCCAGGGCTCCTTTCTCGCGTGCTGGAGCCCGACGACGTATCCTCAACGGTGCCCCGTGAGGCATCGACAGCATCCCCAAGAGGCCTCCAACATTCGGGCGATCGCAAACATTCATGGCGCCAACCTCGTCGAGCGGATTTCGTTCGGAAAAAAATGGGGTGGGCCCGGATTGTCCTGTAGAATTTCGTTCCGGATTTCGGAGTGAATGTCGTTCGGATGTTTTTGGACAGGAATGAAAGCTACAAACAAATCCACGTGACATTCGTGCCGTTTTTCGCTCGCAGTTTCGGGATTTTGCTTTGACAGAAATCCACGCAAAAATCCGCTGCAGCACGTCTGCAAGGTCGGTACAATGACAGACATGCATCAAGGGGGCGTATATTATCGACGGGTTCCGTTTCCATGTGAAATCGCGGATTTCCGCCGCCGAGCGAGGCGGCACCGGCCGCATTTTGGGAGTGCACCTCCCGCGATCCATGGACTTGGCGACCGCGCGCCAGATCCATGGATCGCAAATCCATGTTTGCGCGCCCCCAGAACTTGCGCGTCTCCGTGCGCGTTTCGCCATTCTTCGCTCACGCGGTGCCGTGGATTTCACAACACGGATTCACAATGGCAGCGGAGATAGTTTTGGCTCGATACATAAACACGTATGCGTGCGTATGGATCGAGCACTTGCTAGCAGCTTGTCGGCGCACGGGCTGTATCCGCACGCGACCACACGTCCATTTGGCCGCCGGGCACGTCAAGGGAAGACGTCAGAAGCCTCCTCCCCCTCCTCCCCCCTCCCCCTACCCCTTCTCCCCCTCGTCGTCGTCGTCGTCGTCGTCGTCGTCGTCGTCGTGCTTGTCCTCCGTTTCCTATTCCTTGTCCTCCTCCTTCTCGTCCTCCTCCTCCTTCTCCTCATCTTCCCGGTCCTCCCCTTCTTCCGCTCCCCCGCCAGATCACTGGTGTTTTCAGCAAGCAGGCTGTCTGCCCCTTCCCCCCCCCCCTCCCCTCCAGGCAATGTCTCCCCGATGCAGCTGGATGAGCTCGAGAAGGAGGTGGCTGCGCTGCGAAACCTCAAGCACCCCAGACTGGTCGCCCAGACGGGAATGGGATGCCAGGCGGAAGGGTCGCTTGCCTTTTCTTGGTGCTCCCCCTCTCCATCCCCCCCTCTTTCTCTCTCTCTCTCTCTCTCGTTTTCTCCTCTCTCTCTAACTGAGGGTTGCGATTGTCGACGCCCCCCTTTCTAGCGGAACTATACCGCTTCTCGCCCCTGGATCCGAATGGGATTCCAGCAAGACCCCAGTCGGATTCCAATGAGAGGCCAAGAGGGCTGCAACATGCACCCAGCAAGATCCCAATCGGATCCCAATCGGATTCTCTGTGGGTTCAAAGAGGACCCAATCTTTGTTTGGTGTCGTTCTATTGTACTTTCGCATTGTGTCTTGGCCGACTCAGGGATTTGGACTACAGGCGGGGGCTCTTGCCTCCGAAGAGGCAGTCTCGAGGTCTCTCTTGGCTGTCTTACTCATCCTACTCCCCCGGCCCCCCCTCGCAGAATTACTTGATTTGCAAATTGCCTTGTCGTTGTGCTGACGATATCGCTCGGCGGTTCTCCCCCCGCCCCCTCGGGAAGTACTTCAACATTTTTGAGTGAGGATAACTTGTGTGTGTGCGTGTGTGTGTGCGTGTGTGTGTGTGTGTGTGTGTGTGTGTGTGTGTGTGTGCGTGCGTGCGTGCGTGCGTGCGTGCGTGTGCGTGGGTGCGTGGGTGCGTGGGTGCGTGCGTGCGTGCGTGCGTGCGTGCGTTCGTGCGCGAGTGTTTGTGTGTGTGTGTGGCTGATAATTGCCGTTATTACTGCTTGTTCTGGTCAGATATGTTTAAATTCAAACAATGTGTGATGTGCGGTGTTGTTTTATCTTTGCTTGTTTGGTTGTTCGTTGTATATTATGCGATGGTGTTTCTGTTCTTTCCTGGTATCCATTCTGCATACACGTGTTCTTTGTTCCTCCTCTCTCTCGCTTCAAGTTTCAAGTTGTCTCAGCACGCTCGGCGACTTCGCCGCGGCTGGAAAACAGTTTCGGATGCCTGTTCGTGCTCTTTATTGTTGCGACCGTTTGTCTTGTTTTACCTTCCACTGTGGGGAGGGGGGTTGTACATAGCTACCTCTTTTTCGAGTCATGCTTGTGTCAGTTCCCTCCTCGCTTTGCAGCCTGCCGCTTCTCTTCGGAGGCACGCTGGACAGAACAGTGATGAGGGAAAACATCGTAGGCGCCTACGGTGAGTCACCGTTTCTTTTGAAACGTCGATGTGGCCTCATCCAGCACGCCAACAACCCTTCTTGCCGGCAACAGGGGGCCGCGGATCTAGTGGCCTTCGGTCCATTCCGCCACCGTGGCTGGGTCGTGGGCCAGAGGCCTCTTCAATGCTCGTTGGGGTCTCCTTGGATGCCTCTCGGGGGCCTCTCGGAGGCCTCTTCTCTTCAGGGGACTCTTACGGCCTTTGGGTGGGAGGCCTCATGAAAGTCTCTTGGGGGCTCCCAGGGGCCCTCCGCTTTTCCTTTCTGGGCCCCCTCCCGCGCGTCCCTTGGGCCGCCCAGGGCCTCGGGGGCCGTCTTCGGGGCCCCTGAAACTCGAAAGCGCGAGCGCGCCAACATCACCCAAACGCATGGGGATGTTAATGGTTCTGGCCTTTCGGAGCTCTCTTGGGTGCCCTCGGGGCCCTCTTGGGATCTCCTGGCGGCCTGCTGAGCCGTCTGGAGGCCATCTTGGCCGTCTTGGAGCTCTCCGGGACCGTCTCGAGTCTCCTCCTCCTCCTCCTCCTCCTCCTCCTCCTCCTCCTCCTCTCTCCCTGCCCCGCTGCCCCGAGGGAGACTTTTACCAGGCTGCTGGCCTGGTAAAAGTGTTCGCGTATTCGATCTGCACATGGGCGGATTCAGCAGGCGTTTGGCGCAGAGTACTGCTGGGACGCGGACTCGATGCTGCCTCGGGAGCAGCGTCTTTCTCGACGGAAGTTGGCGCTCTCGGAGCAGCTTTCCGATTGATACACTTTACGCAAGCCGTTGAGAGACACAGGCGAAACTTAGCGTGTCAGTCAGTGTGCCAAAGGTAGAGATGGGCAATCTTGAGAATCATGGGCTCTTGAGGGTTTGAAGACGCTCCGCCGAGTGCCTCGCGGTACGTTGGCGTGTTACACCAAGCAGAGCAATTACGAACGTATCCGGCCTTTCGGGACAAGTGATTTCCAGTTGGGAAGGTTGGGGAGTAAACGTGGAGGGAAGGAGGGGATCTTTTGGGAGAGGGCAAGGAGAGGATTGGCGGCCTTATGGGAGGAAGGATCAGGGAACGAGGAACAGGGGGGCACCGGCAATCGAACACCGCCCGCGCGAGCAATCGCAGATAGCTTCAGTGTGAACAGCGGCTCCGCCCTGGCTTCCTCGTCTCGAAAGTTATCGGTGCGTCTCCCCTCTCGCTATTGCTAGAGGCGGCCCCTGGAGCACTCGCCCCTCCTCCCAGTCCTCCCCCCCCTCCTCTCCCAGTCCGGCTCCCCAGTTGCCCGTGTGGAGGAGGAGGAGGAGGAGGAGGAGGAGGAGGAGGAGGAGGAGGAGGAGGAGGAGGAGGAGGGAGGAGGAGGACAAGGAGGAGGAGGAGGAGGAGGAGGAGGAGGCTCGCCTCCTGGTCTTCCCTGCTCCGCCGTCTCCCCTTCCCCCTTCCCTCCCGCTCGCTCGTTCTCTCCACCGCCTGATCCCCCGTTCTCGCCAGAGGCCTGCCGAGTGGGATCGGACCCCTGGCAGGATTGCGCCGCGTCGCCGCTGCAGCGGCAACCTTGGGATGGAGAACTCGGTGTCCTAAGTCGCCTTGAGCTCGCCGACATATCGGCGATGCGGTGTGATCCTTCCAGCCTTGCTTACATTCAAGCCCAGCTGACGGGTCTCGACTCGCCCATCCTCTGTTGCTCTGGGCCGCGGAGGTCAGCTTCATCGGAGCCTGCCTGACGCCCCCCAATCTGTGCATCATCACGGAGTTCATGCCGGGGGGCTCGCTGCACCACCTCCTGCACAAGGACGGGGTGCGACGCTCTCACGGCAACCACCAGTCTGGCCACCCTCCTCTCTCCCCACTCCCCTTTCCCTCCCGTGCCCCCTCCCCCTTCCCCGCCCTCCCGTTTCTGCTCCCTCTCCCCCTGCACCTCGTGCTCTGGTTGCCTCTTTTCCCCTCTCGCTCCCGCTCCCCCTTCAGGGAGGTCCCTCCCTCTCTTCTGGCCTTCCGCGCCCCCTGCTCTCCAGCAGTTGGGAGGGGCGCTGCGCGCAGTTAGATCCCTCCTGAAACCTGTCTGGAGTCGGCTCCGGGGTCGCTGGGGCGGGAGTGGATGGCGTGGTCGGCGGTTGGCCTGCCTCGTCCCGGTGCGCGGCCTTCGAGCCACGTGGGTGCCCTTCTCGCTGCAGCGGGCACCGGGAGGGAGGGAGGCATAGGGAGAGCGAGGGCGAGAGAGAGAGGGGGGGGGCTCTGCCTTCGCGGGATTTCCGCTCTGGCAGCCTCCCGGAGGCATTCTTTGGGCCCTCTCGGTGAGAGGCCCTGCGGGCCGATGGTAGCTGACAACCTCCCGCTGTTTTTTTTGTTTTTCACGCTGCGAGGATGGTGAGGTTGCTCGACCGCTTCATGGTCGCGGGGTGCGTGGGAAGCAAAATGGGGTAGGAAAAGAAGAGGACGGCCTCGGAGCTCATCTGGACCACAGACATCTGGAAGGCTCGCTGGAGTGTCTTACATGTAACGGAAAGAGCGAGGTACGAGTGACGACGTTGTGTTTGGGCGAAGCCCTCTAGGGAGGGGTCCAGGGGAGGGGAGGGGGAGGGATGCGGTCTAATGGTCGCTCGGGGCGTCTTGGAGGCCTCTTGGGCGTTTCTTGGGCCGTCTAAGGCGCTCAAGACGGCCCAAGCGGCGCCCAAGACGGCCCAAGATACCCTCAAGACGGCCCAAGAGCGCTCCAAGAGAGCCCAAGACTGCCCAAGACAGCCCCAAGACGTCCCAAGAGGCCTCCAAGACGCCCCAAGAGGCGCCCAAGAGGGGTCCCAAGAGGGCCCCAAGAGGCCAAACTCATGGATTTCCCGAGGGAAAACGTGCATTTTTACGTATACGGCTTTTCGGCTTTCATGGCGTTGAAGACGGTCCAAGAGGCCCCCGAGACCGCCCTAAGACGGCCCAAGAGGCCCCCAAGAGGCCCCCAAAACGGTCCAAGAGGGCGCCAAGACGGCCCAAGAGGCGCCCAAGAGGGCCAAGACGGCCCCAAGAGGGCCCCAAGAGGCCCCCAAGAGAGCCCCAAGACGGCCAAAGGCAGCCCAGTCCCCGCACCCCGCCCCAAGAAGCTCCCAGGAGGCCCCAAGAGGCCCCCAAGAAGCCCCAAAAGGCTCCCAAGAGGCCCCCAAGAGGCCCCCCAAGAGGCCCCAAGAGCCCCCCAAGCGGCTTCGAAACTGCCTCCGAGAAGCCCGCGAGAAGCCTCCCCAGATCCCAGTGAACACCGCACAAGCTTCAGACCGGCAACCTAGGCACGGTGGCGATCGGTCACGTAAAAGCTCTTCACACCGAGGCTCCGAACAGCGAACGGTGACGTAAACAAGCTGATACGACCGAGGCTCCCAAGAGCGAAGGGTGACGTAAACAACTCGACGCCAAGGCTCCCAAGGGCGAGCGGCAACGTAACAATCTTTGAACACCAAGGCTCCCAAAAGCGAGCGGTGACGTAACAAGCTCTTAACACCGAGGCTCTCAAACGGACGGTGGCATGACGAGTCCTGCACCGCCAAGGCTCCCATAACGAAAAATAACGTCAAGAATACGGCGCAAGAGAGCCGCAAGACGGCCGAAGAAGGCCCCAATATTGCCCACAAGAGCTCCAACAGGACCCCCAAGAAGGCCCTAAGAGGCCCAAATCGATGATTGTCCGTAAGTGTTTGGAAAACTATAGTCTCTTATTAAGTAACTCGCTCCTAGCAACGAGGCTCTCAGTACGGACAGTGACGCGAGACGTGGTTGACCGCCAAGGCTCCCCGTACGAAAGTTGACGTAAATAACTTTGAACGCCAACGCTCCCGGTACGAACGGTGGTGTGAGTAATTTCGGTCAAGTTTCTGAAGCGCTCTTTCCGTTTCTGTGCCGGGCCAGGTCTATTGGCATCCGTTCGACAGTCTTTGGAGGACCGGTGCGTCCCCAGGGAGCCTCTGGGGGGGTGTCTTGGAGACAATGCTAAGTCTTTTGGGGCTACGTGGGGGCTGTTTCGGGGCCTCCTGCAACGCATTTTGGGCCTTATGGGGTCTCGTAGACAAGGAGGAGGAGGAGGAGGAGCAGGAGGAGGAGGAGGAGGAGCAGGAGGAGGAGGCGGAGGAGGAGGAGGAGGAGGAGGAGGAGGAGGGCCTTCTGCAACGCATTTTTGGACCCGTAGGGTCTCATAAGGGCCTTCTTGGGGGCCTCGTGGGGCCTCTTGGGGGCTTCTTGGAGGCCTGCCGACGGCCGCGGGATCCTCTTGGGGCGGAGGGCTTGTAATGCCATTCCGTGTTCTCCCCTTCTGGGTCTCTCCTGGGGCTCTCTTGGGGCCCTTCTGGGCCGTCTGCGAGGTCTCTTGGGAGGAGGAGGCGGAGGAGGAGACGGAGGAGGAGGATGAGGAGGCGGAGGAGGAGGCGGAGGAGGAGGCGGAGGAGGAGGAGGCGGAGGAGGAGGAGGAGGAGGCCCCGGGGGTGCCCTCGTGGCCTCCAAAGTGGCCCCGTGGGCGCACCGACCAGACGCCTCAGGTCGGATGCAACTCCTGGGAGGTCACACTCTGATTTTGCCCTGGTCTGAAATCTGGCTTAATCCCGCCCAATCCGGCTTAATCCCGCCCAATCCGTCTGAATCCCGCTAAATCCGGGGCCCAATCTGGCGTAACAGCCCCCATTGGGGCTGAATCCTCCTTAATCCTTCTGGCGAAGACCTCCCAGTAGCTGCCTCCTAACCTCAAAAAGACCCCCGAGACCGTATCTCCACCATGCGTCTAAGAGGCTCCAAGACGACTGGCACGTCGCATCGACGGCGAGTCAGCGCAGGTGGCCACGGACTCCCAACATCCGTGCCAAAGGGCGCCCCAAACTGCCTTCGTTCCCTCGAGCGACAGCAATTGGTGGAGCCAGGTGATGGGCGCTCCCCCTTCGGCAAGGCTGGAGTGCGCAGCTTTCGGCTCCGTCTCGGCGCCACCGTCGGGTCCCGTGCCGCCCCCGCCGCACATCGCGAAGGCGGATGGCATGAGGATGCGCAGATGGAGTCCATGCTAGCCGCCACGTGGGTCAGGGCCACTGGGGAAACCGCTGCGCGCTCACGGGACATTGCAGCGCTGGACGCCGCGAGCTACGACGTCCTGGAGCAATCTTTCGGGGTTCCGCAGGTGGACCCCGCCTTTACCTGGCCCTCCTCTTGGTCCGCTCCAGCCGCCCTCGGTGACCTTTTGGCTCATCACCCCGCCCTGCTAGACGACGAGCAAGGGCCCTCCCGTGACGCCAGCCCAGAGCCCGCTGCTCCGCCCACACCTGTTGCCCCTCCGGCTTGAAAAGCCAAAGTCATCGAATTTGAGGCCCTGCTGGTGCGACCCAGAGAGGTTGCTTGGTCTTCGTTGTGCCGTGGTTTGGCCCCAGATGCGTGGCCATGAGGGAGGGGGGGCGACCTTCGATGTACCGTGGTTTGGCCGTGGTGGCATGTATTTCGGAGCCAGACTCGGGCACCCCTCTTCTTTGTTCAGCTCCTCATCTGGTCCTTGGGTGGATCCAGAGAAGCGCAAGAAGCGTTGAAGAACCCCCAAGACTCCCCTACACGTCGCCGGGGAATCGAAATTTTCTTGCTATTGTACAGGTCCCATTTCCAGGCCCAGAAGAGCTCCAGCATCGTCCCTACTTTCCTCATTTGCAACTCGCGATTCGAGTTCCTTGGGCGCGGTTAGAACCTAAGCGCGCGCAAAGCGTGCGCGCGTGGTGATGGTATACATGTGTGTCTATATATACGCACACATGTAGTATATTTGTATGTGTTGACATATAGATATACATATGATGCTTCACATCTAACGAAGTGTTACTTCTAACTATATGTATGTGCACACATGTGTGTGCAGATCCATCTATAGAGAAGCAAACAGGGCCAGAAATGCCTCAAACCCTCGATTCTTCTCCTCCTCCCCTCCTCCGCCTCCTCCCCCTCCCTCCCCCCCTCATCCTCTCCAGGTAGGGTGGGAGAGCGAGGGAGAGCGACGATGACGATGACGAGAGGAGGGGGAGAGGAGAGATGATGGCGCCGCGGGTGCCCCGCCCGGCGCGAGGCCAAGACCGTCCTGCAGCTGAGCTCGCAGGCGAAGATCGGCCTCCACGTGTGCGAGGGCGTGTCTTTCCTGCACTGCCTGACGCCTCAGGTCCGCCCTCAGGGGGGGGGTCACGGCGGGCGGGATTGACGGCGGGCCCCAAGGGGCCGCTTGCTGGGGCAGCTGTCGAGGCGTTGGTAGGACTGGAAGCGCGCCTCGCCGGCGCTGGGAAAGCCTGACGCTTCAGGCGAGCGTGCCTTGTTCGCTGCGCGAGGCGTCGGATGCTTCGATTGCCTGGGTCTTCGCGCTGTGTGCCCTCCGCCCCGATCGGATGGAGACTGCTCATCGGAGACTGCTCCGAATCCGGATGGAATAAATCAGGAGAGGAAAAAAAACACGCAGGGAAATTATGGGAAGTGTGGGGGGAGACGAAAACCAACAAAATAAAGGAAAACACAGGGAATCCTGGCATGTGTGCATCTTTATTGCGTGTCTTTGGACCCCTTTAACGACAAACTCCTCTCTTCGGACGACCGGTGTCGGCAGGCGTGCTCGGCAGCCAGCCGCCTCCCTTTCCAGTGGGCAGCAGCGAGAGCATAAAAACGCAAACCGTTGGACGGCAACGTCTACGAACGATTGCTCCTCCTCCTCCTCCTCCTCCTTCTCCGCCGGCCCAGGCGTGGCGGCGGCGGGGAGGGGGTCCCCAGGGTCCCCCAAAACGGGAGCATAGCCAGACAAGGGGCTTGGGCTTTCCCATGCGCCCCCCGTTTATTATGCCCCCGTCGACGGAGGCCAGGGCCCCCTAAGTTTTTTGTGTCGGCGGCTGGGCAGGGGTCGTCTGCGCTGGCGGAAAGAACTGCCTAAACCAGGGCACCGTTGTAGTGACTTGGTCAGCATGCAGGAGAGGGAAAACAGGACAGAGCGGGCGGCCGCGGGGGGGGGTGACAGGCGAGGGCCATTCAGGGGGGACGGATCGCATCCCCGGGTGAGCTGGCGCGGCCGGCCCCGCCAGCGTGGACCGAGGCGGCTGCTGCGCCGGTAGGGCCCCCCTAAGCAGGGGCATAGCCAGACGTGGATGCCGGCGTTCCCCGTGCCCCCGTCGGCTGTGACCCCGTCTCCACCGCCGTGAGGTCCAGGCGCCGGCGGAGAAGCCGTCCTCGGACGTCCGAAGGTTGTGCTCATTTGGCTGTTGGCTCTCTCTCTCTCTCTCTCCAGTGCGCCAGCCCCTCCCTGGCAAGCCCGCTCGCTCATCGGGTCTTGTCTGGCTCGGCCTTCGATCCGATTCGGTTCGAGCAGCGAGGGCGTGCGAGAATAGCTAACTTCTGCTGCTGGGGAATGTCTGCTGGTCTCAGGCGTGTGCACAGCCGACCCACGTCAGCTGGTTCGAGTCCGACCTGAGTATGGAAACACGGCATGCCATATTTGGAGACACGGCATCTCAAGATTCATGCCAGTTGGCATTTCATCATTATGGCATGTGTTGCTTGAGTCTCCACCTGAGGTCTTCAGGATGCTGTTCCTCCTGAACCATCCCAGACGGCAGCAGTCTCCCACCGAAAGGCGATCGTTTTGTTTTCTAGCAGGCCATCGGGGCACTCCTGAGCTCGTTAATGGCACTTCACGTACACCGCAGCAAATGTGACCCCGCCGCTCGCTTCAGAGGCGAGATCGCGTACTTGAGCCACCCTCCCTCCTCCCCTCTCCTCCTCCTCCTGCTCCTCCTCCTCCTCCTCCTCACCATCCTACTTTTCCGGCCACCGCCTCAAATTTTGTTTGAGCTCTGCCATCCTTCCCTTTCCCTTTGCCTCCACCTCGTGCTACGCTCCTGCTTCCCACTCTCAGTGTCCCCGCCTGCTGGCCATGCTCATTCCCTTTGAATCTTGCCGCAGGTGGTCCATCGTGACCTCAAGTCCTTGAACATCATCTTGGACATGGTGTACAATGCCAAGATATGCGATTTCGGGCTGACCCAGGCCACAGATCCCAAGCTTGGCAGCTTGGCAGTCTTACATTGAGGGGGGGGGAAAGTTGAGCTTGCCAAGCGGCCGAAGCAACGAACGGTCGCGTGTCGATCAATAGTTCACACGTGTGTTTTTCCAAGGCGCTTCGATCTCACAGCATCGACCACGTCCAGAACGGCCACATCAGCCCAGGGGCCCAGAGTGACCCCCTTCTAAACTGCCCAAGACGGTGATGCCCAATGGTGTTCAGAGTTCCACTGCCGCACAGCGTTGTGTGATGCCGTGCGATGCTCGGGGTTTGCTTGATAAGGTGTGGTAATCGCATGAGCTTGACCAGTCACGTTGACCTTTAAGGAGCTTCACGATGATGATGATGATGATGATGATGATGATGATGATGATGATGATGATGATGATGATGATGATGATGATGATGATGATGCGGATGCTGATGATGGTGTTGATGATGATGCTGCTGTTGATGATGATGATGATGAGGATGAGGATGACGATTATGCTGATGATGCTGATGATGATGATGATGATGGTGATGCTGCTGCTGCTGATGATGATGCTGATGATGGTGATGATGATGATGATGATGATGATGCTGTCGATGATGATGATGATGATGATGATGATGATGATGATGATGAAGAATATGATGATGAAGATGACGCTGATGATGATACTGATGCTGATGATGATGCTGATGCTGATGATGATGCTGATGATGATGATGCTGCTGATGATGATGATGACGATGATGATGATGATGATGCTGAGGATGATGATGATGATGATGATGATGATGATGATGATGATGATGCTGATGCTGATGCTGATGCTGATGATGATGATGCTGATGCTGATGATGATGATGCTGATGATGATGATGATGATGCGGATGATGCTTTTTTTTGCTGATGCTGCTGATGCTGCTGTTGATGATGAGGATGTTGATGATGATGATGCTGATGCTGATGCTGATGATGATGCTGATGATGATGATGATGCTGCTCATGATGCTGATGATGATGCTGATGGTGATGGTGATGGTGATGATGATGATGATGATGATGATGATGATGATGCTGATGCTGATGATGCTGATGATGATGATGATGATGCTGATGATGATGATGATGATGAGGATGATGAGGATGATGGATGATGCTGCTGATGATGACGATGACGATGATGACGATGATGATGATGATGATGATGATGATGATGATGATGATGATGATGATGCTGATGATGATGATGATGATGATGATGAATGATGATGATGATGATGATGATGAGGAGGAGGAGGAGGAGAGGAGGAGGAGGAGGCGGAAGGGGAGGAGGAGGAGGAGGAGGAGGAGGAGGAGGAGGAGGAGGAGGAGGAGGCGGAGGAGGAGGAGGAGGAGCAGGAGCAGGAGCAGGAGCAGGAGCAGGAGCAGGAGGAGGAGGCATTAGGGCATTAGGGCCTTAGACGAAAGTCTCTCGCATCCAGCGACCCAATTACTTAATAATCGGGCTTTTCGGGCTCATCACTCCTGCCAGCCTGGAGCCGAGCCTCTTCTTCGAGACGCCTCTCAGCTCGGCAAAACACAACCGCCTCGTGGGGGTCGCTGAAGCCGTGCAGCTGCGCAATTCGATACATATCAAGGGCCTCGGGGAAAACCAACCCGTACTCTGGGGCAGGGTCGGAACACCGCTCCGAGGCCTCTTGAGGGACCGCCAGTCTCCCTTCCCACAACGCTCGGACCTCCTCAGAAGGCTCAGCACAGTCGCCGAGCATCGGGGGAGGGGACACCGTTGAATTAGGGTGCAGGCCTCTGCGAAGCCTAGACCTTTGGGTCGCCAGACCAGGGTGCTTGGGCCCAAAACATGGCCCCGCAAGGCCCTTGCCAGGCCTGTGGCTGTGCTGCACACTCGCGCCGCACGAGATGCAGAACAAAACTGGGGCCCCTGAAACATCTCCGACTACAGGGGCCTGCACGACATTGTGCCTCGAAAACTTCCAAGTCTGGCAACTCACCCGCTCCATCCCCGATATGTGGGGCACCAGGTCGGGAGGAGCAGCCGAGGAGCCAAAGGAGGAGCCGAGAGCAGCGGAACCAGAGCCAACCGAACCCTGACTGCTATCGGGATAGAGACGCGCGGGTACGGCCTCTAGGATCCGCTCCCGCGACCGCAGCTCCAGCTGCGCGTCATAATCGTTGGCGATATCAGGCGGGACAGCCTGACCTGACAGATCAAGCACCACCTCCGAGGTCCCCCCCACCCCCTCCGAGTCCGCGAAACCTCTATCATGGAGCCAGCTGTGCAATCTACCAAGCCACTCCGCGGCCTGACAGACTCTGCGCTCGCAGGCCTCGACAACAAGCTCCTGCTCTTCGTCTATGGCCCACAACTGGGCTCCCGCTTTGGCCCACTGATCGGCTAACCTGCTACCCTTGAGCACCCACAAATCCTCGAGAGAGGTCGCCTCTCGAAGAGCTCTGTGAGCCTTGACTTTCACTACTCGCGCTGTGCCGCCAACTTTGGACCACCACAGCCTCCACATGTGACGGCGGCTGTTATCGGGAGACAGGGCGGTGGACGAGGAGGTGGCGCAGGCAACCGAACCAGCACAATCACTGAAGACTTCAAGCGGCACCCCAGAGTCTCCATCACATGGGGTTCACTAAATCTGGCCAGCATGTGAAACGCATAATCTTCACCGTCCCGCGCCCACTGGTCAGGCCCCCACCCCCGAGGCACCGCCCCATACATGCAGGCAACAAAATTGCCTCCATCACCTACTTGCACCGCTGACCAGCCTGCTCTCCTGCAGGCTCCGAACTTGGTGTGATACGCTGAGCCGTCTACAAAAATGGCCCCTCCCCAGCGCCATCCTGGCATGGCCCCGACAAACCGAACGCAGTTATCCTCGGGCGCCTCAGCCTTCCCATAGCAGCGCTCGGGGGAGGGAAACAAGCACCTGGAAAACATCTCAGCCTCGACCTCGCCAAGACGCGCCACTTTCCAAGCGGCCTGCCGAAGGCTAGAAGGCAGGTCGATCCCGCGGAGCCCGGCCGAGCTGGGACAATCGAACCCTCGATGGAAGAGCGCGCCCCTGCAGCCGCGCAGAAGACACTTATCCGACACCTTGTTATGCTTCGCCAGCCTCGCCTGAGGCCAGTGGGCCCCCGAGACCAGACTGCGAACAAGGTTTCGCTCGTGCCGAGAAAGTCCTTTCTCAGCCTTGCCGTGCAAAATCCTATCCAGGGGCCTCCAGTGAAGCTCAGAAGCCCAAGAGCCGATCCTTTGCAGCGCCTGGATGTCCGAAGCTACCGGGGCCATGCGCCTGGCAACCTCGACGGCCCGACCTGGCGAGAAGAACTTCAAATCCACCTCCCCCTCGGGCCCAATCAGCTTGGCGGCAGAGGCCATGCCTCCTCCAACACGAGCGAGGGCGAGGGGGAGGGCCTGAGCAGGGTTAGTGCACCTGCCCCATGGAGCCTTCTGCCTGAAAATGGAACGACCCCCCTCCAACACCGCCTCCAATATCCCTTCAGACGGCAGAGAGGTCTCCAAGCAGACAGTCCAAGCCTTAACTACTTCACCCGTGTGAATAAGCAGGGGGTCCCTCCAGGACCCGCGGTACATTGTTCTAATTCGGAGCCCTACGCTGGCCCCCATAGGAAGCCGACCCTCAGACTTAAGGGCTGAAACCCTCAGACCGCTGAGTTTCCCATCCGCGATTCCTGTCACCGCTGAACCCCATATGGCAGTAGCCGTCGGAGAGCACCGAAAGACCTTCTCAACCTTGGCGCCCGCAGCTCTCAGGGTGTGGACCCGATCCGCAGACTTCTGAGCTTTGGCAAGACGCTTATTTTGCTCGACCACACTGCGCAGCACCCCAGACGAGCCGTCGCCTCCCAGGCAGCGGAGGCCTCGGGCGCGCTCGAGTTCGCGCTCCCAGGCCGCGCCGAGGATGCTCGCAAGCTCGGAGTCGCCCGTCAGCCACCCAGTTTTGTCCCAGTTGACCTGCAGCTTCCGCTCCGAGAGGCCGTCCACGACAAACCGAAGAGCAGCAGGAAGTTGCTCGCCCACCAGGCGTGCAGTGCCAAGCGCTTGCAATAGTTGATCATCCACAATAAATTTGGCCCTCACTAATGGATAGCGCCGAGCTTGCTCCATCAGCAACGTGTGGGCCATGAGCTTGGCGAGCCCCAGCGCGCAGCTGCATCCTGCCGCTATGGTGCCATTCGCGAACACCACGACCGAGAGGGCGTTCGGGTACTGCGCCCTGCGGCCAAGCCTGTATGCACAACAGAGCGCCCTCAGGAGGGCCAGCGGGAACTTCGTCGCCTTCGCCTCCCTGAGAGGTATGTCGTGCGACACGTGCTCGTAGTACTTGCTGAGGTCCAGCGCGGCCGTGCCAGCCGCCATGCCGTCAACCTGAACGCAGTGCGCTGCCGGCAAATTGTGGACGTGCCCAGCTCGATCGCACGTCCTGCCTAGACCTCCCCAGTAGAAGTCGCCCTCCAGGAGCCTCTCCCACTCTGCTACCAACGGCTGCCGCAGTCGACTCCAGAGCCTCAGCCACAGGCAGTTGAGCACGATCGGGCGCACTCCTCCCCCAGGCGGGGGCTTGGGCAGGAAGGAGATCAGCATGAGAAAGAGCGGCATGTCGATCGGGTCCCTCTCCCACGCGTGGAGCACATCCAGGAACCTCGACTGGTAGCTCTGCGGCATCCATCGCAACTGCCTGGGATGGAACTTGTCCCAGCCCAAGCCCGCCCTGTCACTGTAGGCGCCGACCGCATCGCGCAGGTTCGGCAGCGTGAGCCTCGGCAGCTCCGCAGCGTCGAAGTCCGCGCCTCGCCAGGTGTAGGGGTGGGGCTCATCTGCACGCAGCTCGTGCTGCCACAGCGGGCCCCACTGCAGCATGAGCTTCTCCATCGCAGCATCGCCACCCAGCGGAAGGACCTGCTCCTGCTCCTCGTCCAGCACCTCGAAGACTGATGGCTGGA